CAAATAGATGCCTTTTTGAAAATTTGCTTATGTTTTTAACATTTCACCTGAATGCTAGTAAAACAATTTTATTGCATTGAACTGTATATTTACTAAGCGGAAAATAGTTCTTCCTAAAACACTATAATAATTCTTTTAGAACAGATGCACATTTGAGCGACGTATTGTTTAATAGGTTATCTCCTCAAAACTGGGTTCATTCTTAGAAAATATCCGTGGACTTGTCTCGTTCGGTTTGTCCAGAGGTTAAAAGGAGAGATCTTAGGCTCAAATCCTAACCAGCTCCAAAACTTCTAAACATACCACTTCGAGATGGGAAAATAATTCAAATGGCCTCAATTATTTTATAAGGCCTGACCTTGTTAGCTAGCATACAATTAGACCAGAACTCTTGAAGTAGTGACTTTTAACTGTACTTGTAAATACCGCAAAGAAAGGATGCAAAGGACCTTTTATTCCAAATAAAGTTTAACAGAAAACTCCAACTCGTGCTTACAGAAGCTAATAAATTTGGCTTTAAGACAATGGATAAACTATCAAAATTTGAGTATAACCTAGCGTCTTCACAATACAGAGATCTTAGGCTCAAATCCTAACCGGCTCCATTGGAGAATACTTAACATTATCACTTCGAGACGGAAAAATAATTCAAATGGCTTCAATTATTTTACATACAATTAGGCCAGAACTCTTGAAGTAGTGACTTTTCACTGTACTTATAAATACCACAGAGATAGAGAAAGGATGCAAAGGACCTTTTTTTTTCAAATAAAGTTCAGCAGAAGACACCAACTCGTGCTTACAGAAGCCAATAACTTTGGCTTTAAGACAATGAATAAGCGAATAAAATTTGAGTATAACCTAGCGGCTTCACAATATAACTGACGCCCAAGCTTGCTCTGACCGAAATCGGCGTAAATAAGCCTAATAGCAAGAATAAGTTAATGCCGCAGATTACTGATCGCTAGAGAATCAAAGTTAGCAATGTGTCCTTCAAGCAGGCAGAACACGCTCTGATTTCATCCTCTAAAACCTTCCTTTAAATAACCCTTCTTTTTACCTAATTTGAATTTGCAATTTGGCAGGGAAATGGAAACAAGGCTTGGTAGAAAAGGGAATTAACATAAAATAACGGGTTAGAAACTCAATTGCTGCGTTATAATTTATTTTGCTGCACATCCTGTTTACGTATTACTTAAGTCTCATCTGCAAAGTAACCTTCTCTTAGACTTGGTTTCTGGAAGAAAAACTAGGAGAACTGCAAAGAGCATTCAAGGGTATTAACATACCCAAAACTAATAAAAATATAATAGTTTAAGGATAAAGAAATAAATCATAGAAGCTACCTGGAGGATCGCTATGTGAGGTTAACCTCTCCTGCTTGTCCAACAACAATGAAACTAGAAAGAGGCTGTCCCCAAGGCTCATTTCTAGGGTCAACTCTCTCGAATGCAGCTCCAAATACGGCTTTTGGGATGTTTCAAAACCAGAGTCCCGTGAAAGTGCAAGCATTTGCTGATGACTTTGCCATTATAGTCAACGGAAGGAGAGACAGAAACCAGAGCGCAAGGGGGCAGTAGATAAATTCATGTTATGGACTCGAAACCATAAATTGGAAATCTCAGCTGGCAAGACAATGCTGCTTTGTATTGGACGCAAAGGCGTTGTAAAGCGTAACACAACAGTAAAAATAAATGAAAACTCAATAAAATGTGTAACAACCCTAAAGTACTTAGGAATCATACTTAGCAACAACCTTTCTTGGATTCCGCACTTGAAATCAGTGAAACAGCGTAGTGCATATATAACAAACACAATGCTAAGAACTACGAAACTTCACTGAGGTACACCCCATGTATATTAAGGGCTTGGTACAAAACTATAACCGAACGCTTCATTCATTATGGTGCAGGAGTGTGGTGCGAGTGCATTAATGCCGGCATGAGAAAAATTTTATTGGCAATGCAGAGACAGCAATGGCTAATAATATGTAAAGGTTACAGCACCACACCCAACCACCGCTTTACAGATTCTGGCAGGCATCCCGCCACTAGACCTTCAGGCAAAAAGGGAATCAGTTGCAGCAAGAGTGGTACGTCTTGGAGAATACTGTACTCTCTGACGGAACCATTACTACTTACTAGCCTATGAGAAGCATAGGCCAGTGCAGTTGGGCTATCCTGTAGAAACTGACTTAATGGGCATCGTCAGTCTATCGTACACACCCCCAAATCATGTTAAATAAGCTTGTTTACAGACCAAAACAGGTACGAGTAGTGCCTTCTGTGCCATTAAGGAGGGCGTCATAAAGCACGACTGGAAAAGTAGACTCAATGAGAACAACTGTCTTCCAGGCTAAGTTGGTAGCGTTAAAATCAGCAATAGGCTATCCAGTGCATCATCTAAGTGGGTAAAAATAACAATTTATAGTGTCTCTGCCTTCAGTCTGGAAGCAATAAGGGGTCTTAAGAGTGGAAGCCCATATGTGAATGATATTAGACGACTCCTGCTGCAACTGCCGCAGTCAGCTCGTCCCACTTTTCACTGGGTCCCAGCCCATGTTGGGATACAAGGAAATGCAGAAGCGTTCAGGTTGGCAAAAACTGCGGCAAACGACGTAGCTCTACTAGAATGTCCACTCAAACTCTCAGTCTCCCGTATCAAAAACGTGACACGTATTCACCTGCTGGAACAATGTCAAAGTAAATGGAACACGGCTCCAACCAGCAGGATATTCCGTTTCTTTCGGAAAGTTGGGGAAAGCCTGCTAGCAACAAATGGAGAGATCACCCACTTGTTCACAGGGCATGGCCCGTTCATGACATACCTACATAGGTTTGGTCTAAGCGGAACAGATAACTGTAGATGTGGAGAGGTGGGGGACCTGGATCATTATGTTTTCAACTGCACTGATACAAGCTCTCTACATCATAGGCAGCCAAGCCCACAGTATTGGTCACTGTGGGCAGACAACATATTGAAAAATAAAATAGCCAAAGCAAAGCTTAGGGAATCAGTTAAACATTGTGCAGTTGTGAAATCTGCTATCAGTAACTGAAGAGTATGGTTACAAACACCCAACAGGAATCAATAACGGAGAGTTTAATAAATAGACAACTAGTGTATCAGTGTACAGCCCTACTAGTAATGGCATAGTGCTTTATAAATTAAATTCCTCACAGTACTGTGCAACTACATGTTTTCTAGGTTATAGTAATTTTCACTTTGTTAACAAGTAATATGCAATTAGTAGTACAGCTGGTTTTGTGCAGTTTATGGTTAATTAACCATTTATGAGCTTCAGAACAGTTACAATAAATTATCCATACAATACGACATAGTAATTGTACTCTTATAGCTTGCATTTCGAGATCGAAAGAATGGCATTAGAGACTATATCATGCACTATAATTAAAGTAAAGGAACACCTGCAACAGCAATTTGCAATTTCTTTTTTAGGATTATAATTACTATTGCACTGAATTTAGTAATAATATCACTAGAATATTAATCAGTGTGCTGTCTTGTATTCTTCTGTCAGTTTGGTATTATGTTCAATATTATTTTGATATCCATTTAGAAATCACTTTAATTGCAGTCCTGTTTATACTAGTATTAACTGGGCACTGTATCCTCATACATACTTATTTTTTTTATTGCAGTTTGATATGTGTTTTTGTAAAGTTAATAAATGTACCTGTTCATAGCTGTGTGACAAAAGGGTTTAAGTGCCAGTTTATATATAGAAGTGTGTCATTGATTGAGTTAGTATTTAGTATTTAAATAATTCGGTCCTTTTTTTAGTCTGAAATTATGCTGTCTGTATAACGTTAATTTAGGTATTTTATTATGTATGTTCTCAGTGCGTATTTATGTATTTACGTATGTATTACGTGTTTATGTGTGTATATTCTCAGAGTAAATTAGGTATCCAGGACGCACTATGGTGCATGTAATCATGGGTATATGTCTTGTAAATAGTTGGTGTAACAAGTATAATTTCTGGATTGAAAAAAAAAAAAAAATCAAATTTTTACGAGAACGCAAGACCACATGTTCTACGTCTTAGCAAAATATGTAGTTGTACTATATTCCATTTAAATTCCTTACTAGTGGCAAGATTTTATGCAACTGTTCCTTTGCATATTCTATAATGTGAACTGTAACTAAGTTGTATTTAAAACAAGTAGTAAATTCTTGGTATGTCCTTATGTAAGTCTGCAAAGTAGTCGGTGCTATTTATTAACATTGTAAGTAAAAGTAGTTACTTTTTTTAGGTAGGATAATTGTATGTATTTTTGTCAATGTATATTGTTATGGTTGTTAACTGTAGGTAGTACAATTGGGAACCAGGGCTCACAATTTCATGGAATAGTTTCTGCATGGCTATTTATGACATAAGACTTGCAGTTCATACTTATGCCACAGTAAATTGCATGCAATTGTCTCTTTACATAATCTGGAATTGAGCAAGTACATATTACTTGTGAATTGTAACAAATCTGCATGTTTAAAATATGCGGTAATACTGTGAATGTATTAATGTAAGTAAATCTGTAAACATAGTAGGTGCTACCTATTTATAATGTAAGTAACAACAGTTATTTTCATGTGGGTAGGATATTTTTTTTTTGTATTTGATATGTCAATGTATTTGATATGTATGTTATCTGTAGGTAACACGAATGTGTACTGGGGCACTTACTCTCATGGAATAATAGCTGCATGGTTCATTACACCATGGGTCATGTAGCTATGACGCAGACCACATTGTGCAAAATTGACTTAGTTTCCAGTGACTCTCAGCTTAGCCCCCTCTCTTTTTCTTTTTAAATCAATTGTACATTTCTCTTACCAGTAGTTTTGTTTTAATTACCTTTTTAACTTCGATTTCATATTTAGAATCTGTAGTGTGCACAAGACGGTGATTCCTTTGGTGATGACGTTACTTTTATGTCTTTGCTCTTTTTTTCTTTTTGATAGCATCCGCGCTGCTTGTCCTGTGGGTCCTCCTGCGATGGCGCAACAGTAACAGATGACAACTGCAGAGAGGATGATAATGCTGTAAGGCTAATTATAGCTATAGGGACAGCAGTCCTCTTTTTGCAGTGTAACTGTAACTGTAACTAACTGTCTTTATTTTTCATTTCAGCAATTTTATTTATTGTCGGTAATAATTTATTGAAACAGAAGTATTTTACCAATAAGCAACACTTCATTGATATACTTTATACTTTTTTAGAAGTACTTGCTTTAAATGTGTAATTTTTCATACTTATAAAGTTTCTAAGAAGACTTAAACTGATTGCCGAAAATATTGTAGGGATACAGTATAGGCGTAAAAGGGCTCTGGAACTATCTTTCCAAAATTATGATTATTTTAGAAATGTAGTAATAAGGGAACTCAAATTCGAAGCTGTGATGTTAAAACTTCCTCCTTTTACACGAAGACAACTATGCCCAATTAGATCACTCCTTTACAGTGTATTAGTTACAGTAATAAAGCTTTTCAGATATTATTATGCCAGTCTACTTTTTATTGCTTTCATTTAACTTTTATAATAGAAGTAAGCAGAAATAATCATGATATGCACGTTTACATTTTCAGTGCCTTTCTTTCCCAAGGCTACAGAAAATTTTAATTTTTACTTCTAGAACCAAGCCTACTAGCCAAGCAACTTTCTAAGCTATAAGAAACTTTACATTTTTACTTTCAGAAACAACTCTGAGGAAATACATGTCTGAAGACTGTTGCTGAGGAATATCAGGCAAAGATTTTATGAATAAAGTGAAAACTAAGTTCACAAATTTAATTCATTCCTGCAGACCGTTCATCAACCGAAATGTTTTTAAACCGAAACAATTTTTCCACATGAATTAATGTAAAACGGATTAATTTGTTCGTGGACTACAGATGATTCTATATTTAAATTTTACAATAATATTTTGATCTCTAGTTCATAAGCCAAAACCAATGGAAATCATTAAATGTGAAAGGAAAAAAGGTAAGCACAGTATTAAATCGATGAAAACTTAATTTAATTTTACTATACTTGTACGAAGAAATGTGGACGGTATAAGTGAAAATGATGAAGAAGATGTTACTATTTGCATGCTAAATTCCCTTGCCTAAAAATATCAGGTAGTAATTAACAGTTTTTAAGCGGCAACTTCTTTAATCTTTCCTTTGTCTCTAAGTGCCATTTGACTTTATTCTAAAAATCTCACTGGCTCACTGGGCTTGAGTCTCACTGGGCTTCTCTTTCCCTCAAATTGTTTCGTGAGTTGTTGTAATCTACGTTTTAACATGTTCCTAAAGTGAGAGATGGTACTATCATTTAAAAATTATGCTGTAACTTTCCACTCTTTTAGCAGGGTGATATCTTTATTTGAAAAACTTTGTATCTTAACTCTAAAATTTCGCAGGTTAAAGAATCACCAAAGAATCACGTTAAGATTTCTATCGCCCTTTTCTTTTGTACACATTTCTTCCACAATCACCTTTCGTTGCTGCTCCTAAAGTTGCTGCCGTTATTTCTTGTAGAGTTCGTTTTCATGGCGGTATCTTTCATGGAAGAGGTAACTTCTTCACGGATTCATTGTTAAGTTCCTCCCCCCATGGTTTTGCCTAGAGATATAATATCATAGATAAAAAAGGCTTTACGTGCTCTGCCTGCAACACAATCTGGGCATAATTTCCTGTAGGCCGAATTCATGGGCCTGTAAATCACTTGCTGTCAGTCCTTTATTAATGAGAATAAGGCAACGAAAAATATTAAAATGATGTTTCCAGAAGTTCTGAGTGGTATAGGTTACCTCAATTATGCGGCACAGGTTACCTCCAAATACCTCCGAAAATCATACGCAACCGATCTGAGGATTTGGAACTCGCAAAGCAACCAGTTAAGAATATAAAGGGCCTTTAAATAAAAATGAGCCCAACGTCCCGTATCACCAAGGATTTAACATTTCTTAAACATTTGTATGATTTTTATTTAGACATTTATTCAAGCGTGTCACCAAATGTACAATAGCGCTTTTGTAAAAGTGTTTAGTTTTATCTGAAGCCAGCTCCGATCTCTCTTCCATGCTACTGTGTGATTGGACCTCAAAAAGCTTTCTTTGGCTCACCAAAAACTCCAAAACCACATGTAAAAGGTCCGGAATATTGCCAGTTATGCTTTCGAAGTTCTTGGTTCCGCAGTGGTGTCGAATTTTATTATGCAGCAGATAAACTCAGTTGAAATGCTTTCCAGCTTCTTTTGACTTGATCTACTATCGTAGTGAAGTCACAGTATCACCATAATTTTGTCCATTCATTGTAGGTCCGTGTTTCATGAAGCTGATAAGAAATGGCCCTTTCCAAAATAAAAAAAGACCCAACATCACCTTCCTCGCATTAGTGTCACGTGCGCTGGACGTTTTGGGTGAAGGGGTAACCAGACAGTTTCCACTGGAAAGACAAAATATGATTCCGGGCTCAAAATGTGTTGTCGCTAGTCAGTTACAATAAGTTATCCCCAATCCCCTTCTCGAGAACATTGCTGTAGACACTCCAGATACATAACCACACAACATGCTTCTTAGTCCTATCAAGTAATGAGGCACTTTCTAGGCACATAATTTACGGAACTTCAGTTGGTTTGTCACAACAAAATATACAGTTTCAACACTTAAGCGGACAATATCATTGAATTAAGTTGTTACATGTCATTGAATGAATTCCTTCATGTTAACAGCAGTGGTATCTGTGACGCTGTTTGGTGCGTTAATTATATCGCTCATTCGTTTGCCAAAGATCGCCGTACTTCTCTAAATTCCGTGAACCACATTTTCAACCTTTTGAGTAATACAGGTATTCCCTAACCATACTCATATGAACTTCAATACCACCTACTCTTTCTAAGCTCAGCTGATTCTCTCTGATGTCCATGCATGTGTGGGATTTTCTCTTCGGGAGGTGTAACTACTCGGTAGACACTTTGTCACACTGCAGCTTTTAGTTGGATTGCATGTTTTTCACTGAATGTCCTTATATAATATCCATATGTCCATACGCTTTGTAGGGAATTCCTCACTTACTTAACTAACTAAACTCAGTCCGTAATAAGAATATTAAGCAACTTATTGCCCTGCCTGTTAAAGTAACTTCGACTCAGAAGAAAATTTAAATAACCTTTCTTTTTAAGCTTTAACTTAACAAGTGCACAGCTTATGCTTACAGTACAATCTCAGCTGTTTGCAGGACCTGAGCTAATATAAAACGTAAATTAAAATTTAAAGTAATTTAGCGCTGGAAATTCGCATTGGTAGGCAAAAGCCTGCAAAGCATTGGTTTAAACCAATCTAACTTCGCAAGCAAATTCAACTAGCAAAAGGTTAACGTTCGTCTAAAGTAATTCTTAGAGCAAAGTGACAAAATATCGCAATTGTCAGCGTCGCTGCCAGAGCTCTCTCTTCAACATTCAAAACTCTAGCTTGCATGCAGGTAAGGGCTGACGAAATTAGAAATATTAATATGGATATTGTGATAAGATAATGGGATAATAGTATAAACCTTACAAATTCATTACAGCACTGTACAATAAAAATGCTGTAATAAAAAAAACTGATTTCAGTAGGTATAAATAAACAGATACGGAGTACAAGCACAATCTTCCTCGTTAAATACCTAATGAGTAACCAGTATTAGCAGGTATATGTAATATTAATAAAAAAAGAAGAATTATAATAGTTTCAGAATCATGACGACTGAGAGTGAAGAAATATGCTATCGAAGAGCAATCTCGATTTTGACTATATGGAATAAATCTCACATGCAGAAAAATTCTTAAGTAATTCAGCAATTTTTTTTTTTTTTTGGTTAAATGTAAAAAATCAAGCAGGTATTCTCTCTGAATAGGTTGCCGAAACAATATATAATTTGTATAATAAATGAGCCTGATAAAGAAAAATAAAATGAGAACTGATGTTTTTTATTAGACAATTAAAACAAAATTTTTGTCCCCCTTTTAGAAACTTTTCGTCGGTCTGCCTGTGAAACCTAGTACAAAGCAAATAGAGGAAAGACCGTTCTCTCAAAATCTGATTACCTTGAGGGATAAAAGATGGAAAGACATCAGAGCTATTCTTACACCTTCATTCACTGCTTCAAAAATGAAACAAGTAAGTGAAAGTCTTGCAAAATAAACGGATAAATAATCAAACCACCTCTTTTGAAAATAATTAAAAAGTATATTAAAAAAGATGAAAAAATTGCTCTAAAAGCCTTACGTTACCAAAAAACATGATTTTATAGGACTTAATCTCCTCGTTAAAATATCTCTGCTTCTTATATATTGCTGTAATATATATTGCTGTAAATTCATGCGAATATTCGTTTATATTAATTTTCTTCTTTTTGTATTTTAATGCTCAATTTTTTTTGTTGTTATTCATTTGGTTTTCTTCAATTATTTCTTTTGTTGCACTGAAATACGGAAAATGTACGCTAGCCTTTGATTACTCAATGGAACATTATATGTTATTTTTTTTTCTACTCTGTATAAATGCGCTTCGTTTCCTAACAAGTAACAAATATGAAGAAAAATTAGCTTCGTATGTTGTGCCTATTTTTAAAATCTATCAAATTTTCAAAAAACTGCTGGTGTTTTTTTTTTTTTTTTTTTTTTTTTTTTTTTTTTTTTTTTTTTGACTCTCACAAGTAACAAACTTTTCTAATTTTACAGAGTTCCTAGTGCACAAAATTCGGTCAACATCATTAGCCATCAAAATCGTAAAAAACAACCTTATATTTTAGCGTAGGTATAATGAAACACTCAATCGAAAACCACGTGCAGTGCTGATAAGCCCTACGTGTTTCTGTGACTCCTTCTCCTAATTTTTTTCTTTCTATGTATTTCTTTCTCCTGATGAGGAGGGACCTTTAGCTGCCCTCGAAATCGATTGAGTGTTTCATTATACCTACGCTAAATATAAGGTTGTTTTTTACGATTTTGATTGTCACATTAGCGTGTTTCTCTTCTAGTCTATCATTAGCCATATTGAAAGAAATTCACCATGTGTGAAATTCGTCATCATGTGATAGGAATTACAGCTGACCTTTCTTAGGTGCTAGGTGCTGTGAAGAGTGTCATGCCAAGTTTGATGGCCGTTCTCGTGAATGACGGCCGTCACACTGAAAATATGTGATCCTATTTGCGTTGCAATTTGTGCTGCGCCACTATACAAACTTTTGAAAGAACTGAAGTAAAACCTATTGGTGAAAAATATAATTACAATGAGGAAAAACTTTCGTTATTTAAAAATAAATCCTATGATTTTCCTTCATCTCTGTAAAAAGCGTATCATGCTACTGTCTCTGTTTTTCGAATTCTTGAATCCCTGCCCTGGCTTAAGTATCACAGAAAGCAATGTTAGTGTAACTTTAGCTTAATTATTTAGTACAGACTATAGTTAAGTACTTATACAGGCAAACTATACATCCGCATATTCTCCATCTTGCTCTACACACACATGTATGCGTCTTCATGTTCGTCTTGACATGATGAAATCCTTCATCCACATTTTCGCGCAATTCTTCGTCTGTTCTGTACCGACGAATAGAGAGTGGATGTAACCTCACAATTAGTTGTCCGGTATTCCAAACAGATCCAATCTTTATGGGGATCGTGATGTTGGAGAATCGTGTTAAATCCAGCAAACTGGAACCTGTTTATTAACATAATTACGCACTTGAAGGGCAAAATAAGCTGGAGCTGCGTCCTGTTGCACACATACTCGATCCTTGATTACCTTCTTTTGCAGATAAGATATTAATTGCGCTTGCAGAATGTGTAAATAAAAATGTCCCTTGACATATTAATAAAAAATAGGGTCTGATCATGAAATTAGTATTATTAATACCACAACAGCTAATGGAGCAACATCAGAACTAAACTTAAACTGATAATTTTCTCTGTGATACTCACACTCAGCGTTACGGGGACTTTAAGGATATCCTGTAGAAACTTAGCTATGAATTTATAAATAGGAATTTTAATGAACGTACAGTTTAGGACATTTAATTAGTATTTTCTTTCTTTTCAACGACGGCGGGGCAGCCGATCGGCCAAGTGGCCCCGCTAACAGAATAAACTTTGCTATGTAATACTTTGAGTGTGACTACAAATATTGAACAGAGTTGCTGATACAAAAATGTAAGATAATATTGCATTAGTGCTGTATTTTAGTAGCTTCAGATGATTATTAATGATTTATATTATAAAATTATTATTAAGATTAAATTTTGTGAACTTTCAGATGGCTCCTATAATAAATGACGCTGTTGATTCCCTCATTAACAATGTGGAAAGGAAAAGTAATGCTGGAGAATCCTTTGATATTTACTCAATGTATCAGGGTCTTACCATGGATGTCATTGGCAGAACAGCATTTGGGATCCAAACGGATGTTCAAAATGACCCAAATGACCCATTCATCAGATCGGCAAGAGTTCTTCTCTCTGACGACATTCGGAATGTTTTAGCTATCATAGCAGGTATCTTATTTTTTTTTCTTTGAAAAATATACTTTTCATGCAGTAAGTACCTTTTTCAGAGTAAGGCTGCAGATCGATTAGAGGACATGAAACCTATACCAGGAAAAATGGAAATAAATCTTCTGCAGCTAAATCATTATTCTTGTTGTTACGCTAAAATTATCCAAATCAAGTTAGTGAATTAGATTTTCTTAACTCCCTGCACATTCACTAAACACTACAAGCTTAGGTTCATGGCCTTAATTAAAACTCATTTCTCTCAAAGCTTTTAAAAAGTTAATTTTTTAGGTAATTGATTATTATTTTACTCAGTCACTCTTTAATACTTAAATTAGGATATCAGTGCTTTAAATCAATTATTAATCACCGAGTTCTGCTCCCATAATCTGGTTTTACACTGAAGGAATCGTTTCACTAACTCCGTCCACCGAACCCATTCTACTTTTCCGATTTTCTGTTCTTATCCTACAACCCAACTCTATCACGCTACTTCTAGCACATGCTGTTTGGCACTTTTAACATACTACTTAGACATACAGTTAAAATCGACTTCTTGGGCGCCTGGAAAACTAGGCTTCATAACCCGGTGTTTGGTTTCGAGGGATGTTGAGGCTATTTCTGTAGTGTAAAACGTTATTGCCTACTGAAGGAACATACTTGAGTGAAACATAAATTTTAATGCGTGCTTTCCTTGAGCTTTACAAAACTGATGTACACGACATGCCGACCTATGACATGAGAAAAAAAACCTTGTGATGAATAACAAGTGACTAACTTGACTGGTATATCGGCAGGTACTTAGCTGCAACAATTTCATGCGATGCTTCATATAAATGCTGTCCGGGATACTCTGTTAGACTCCTGTTCCTATTCTACTCTTCGACAGTTGCATTCCAGGTCAGGATTCCGTACCTCACATAGCTGTACCAGGCTGGAGAGAATCAGGGCTACTGGCCACGTTGATAACTTGGACGATACGTACAGGGGATAGACATATCGGGAGGAGACATAGTCTCACATGCATTTCTTGGCTTCCGCTGCGGGATAATACAGTGATGAACTTTTCAGCACTGCGCACCTGCAAGGGGTAATGCTTATCTCCCAACAGCTTCGTTAATGGCCTAAATTAAACTTGATTGTTTAACCCAATTAATGCTTAAAGCTTCTGTACTTATTGATATTGTTATCATTTTCAACTAAAGTTAATCAGATTCTCTATAAATCGTTGTGTTTACAAAAACGTATTATTTACATATACTAGGCATTTTATCAGTGGTTTTGAAATCTGACAGCGGAAGAAACTAACTTCTGCGAATAATAAAGGATTATTGTATAAACATGTATGTATATATTTTGTAGAGAGTTATCTAAGATACATTAGTTTTCATTACTTTTTTTCTTATTTTAAAGTAATACCTAAAAAGTACGTTTATGTTTCAGCGAGTTTCCGTGAATTAGATCGTTTGTGGTTCTACGTCAATAGGATAAGATTTATGTTCAAGAACAAAGGAAAGAATCCTATGACAGAACTGCTAGAGTCTGTGAAAAAAGTCATAAATCTCAGAAGAAAGAATAAAGAGGTAATATGCGATAACAAAAGCTTAATAAAATGAATCCCTGAAAAACCTTTATTCTGTTTTATACTTTTCCTATTGTTGCTCTTGTCAGACAGCGATTTCATTAAAAAACTATTTTACCTTCTTTTATCCTCAAAACGTTGTTTAATTACATCAGTTTTATAATAATATACTTATTATACTACAATTTTTCTTAATAGGAATATAAATTTGAATTGAATGTGAATGTGGCAGTATAAATTTTCCGACTGGTTGTGCTGTTAAATCGTTTAAAACAAAATATCTGCTTTGTAGGAAAATAAAATTTAAATAGAATATTAAATAGGAAAATGTAACTTGCAGACACACACATGCTCTTCCACACATTTGCCTATTTATACACTCGTGTTCAGTGAAATTAGAGTACCCTGAAAGAGACAAATTGGACACAAATGAAATTTAATAGACATAAAAATAAATATAAGAAATTCGCATGATCTCAGAAAGAGAACAATAGGATAATTAGTGAAGAACTCATGGGCCTCAGTTTAGTTTTCTTCAATAGAGCACTGCAGGCTACAACATGATCCGGCATTAAGTCCAAAAGGAGCTTGATATTGTCCTGTGGCAGATGGACCCATATTTATTCCATGGGGCATTCTAAATTTTGGATAATGCGGCACGGAAGCAGGTCTTGTTTCATCTGCTCCCAGATATGGGGGGGGGCATGGGACCCACTGGCGGGCGATCGCTGAACATTGGTATTTCGGTCTGAGGTTAAAATCCCGCGAACGGGCTGGCTGCATGGGTATTTCCGTGATTTTCTCCAAGTGTAACGTGTATACGAGGCAGTTTCCCTTAGAAAGTCTCCACAAAATCATTCTTCCCTTGAGGCAGAAAGCTCTAGAGGCTTTGACGAAATCACATAAAGCAAACCCAGACATGGGTGGCAGGGCACAGGTGCGCGCAACGGGCAGGCCATAGATATGTGCACACATGATATTGGCAACCCTTTAGAACCCGTGTTGAATGCGGCCTGGTCTTACTCTGCTGGAATAAAGCTCTAAGATTCTCAGCAAAGAATGGAAACATATGTGGCCGTTGAATCTCGTCCATATATACTGGGCTCTCATACCTCGAACCCCTACTATAGCGATCTTGTTATTGTAGGGTACAGTTCTCCAGGCCACCATGATACCTGGTGTTGGGGACCTATACTCTCGACAGCGAGGCTGGGATTGTTCCGCTAGTCAGAGAAGCTCCGCGCCTGGACTCATCGGCCATTTCGATTCCCAAACGAAGTGTAACTCATCGTTGAATGTAATGGCTCGTTATTCCGTGGTGTTTCACGTTGCTCGAGTATGGTTATTCGTAAATTACGTGCTTGGATTTAAAGTTTGTCGTTAAAAATTAAACTTTTTCCGCCTTATCAAAAGCCTCTGAAATTAAAATTAATGAAGCAAATATTCATTTACGTTGTTACATTTTTCAGTATGAGTAAAATCTTCCTGCTAAAGGCCACATTACTAATTTGAATCACATGAGAGCTGTATTCTGCGGCGTTGCGTTATCTTCGCCATTAGGCTTATCACTCCGACTTTAGATCAGAGCCATCTTGTGCATTATTCTTATTGTGTAGCCGTTAGTCTAATTTACTTTTACTTAGTTAAGCCATATTCATTATCTTCAATTTTAAGTATAAATGCTGGATAATTTTGTAAACAAGAGTGGTGCCTTCAGTTAACCTTCATTTTAGTTAATAAAAGGGTCCCTTACATCCTTTTCCCGTCAAGTCTTAAGTCGTTTCGTACAATTTATGTTACCAAAGAACACGGGATGTTACAACGTTTTTATTACCAATTATGATTTTAGAAATAATTCGGTGTCCACCAATATCAAGTAATTCTAGGGTTTCTTACGCTGGCCCTGGATCGATGCGACCACGCATAAGATTTCAACAAGCGCTCCACGCGGTGACCTTATACGTATACGCAAAGTTGCTTGCAGAAGACGGATTAGTCTGAAGAACGGCATCTTGCCGTCGATGTTACCGCCAGCATCTGTGCGCCATTGTAGCTGCATATATTGCAGGCCGGAGCGTAGAACAGTCTGTGACCTTCAAGAAGACGAGATCTCACCACTTCTTTTCGTGCCACACATCCTATTTTCTGAGCTACGTTGCATGATGCAGCCGTATGGTCCTTGCATACGATCATTTGCGAGCCCGCAAATCGCTCCGTCTGTCCTTCCAGAATCGCGATATTCACATGAGAGTTGTCAGCTTTCGACAGACGTGAACAATAGTTTGGGTTATGTTAACATGCAATCTCAGTAGGCTATTATTCATCCGCAGTTCAAATGGCTGCTGAAACTATGCTCATGTGTATGTAAAAGATACGACAATAATGAGAAGGGTTAAATTACCCTTTATTTCACACAGCGTACAGCCGTTCCCGCACTTCGGGATACAAAGACCAGTACTTTTGGTCTAAAACGTAGAAAATAAGAAGTAAAACTAACTTAACTAAATAAGAACTTAGATACTTTACAAAGCCTAGTAACGCGATGATTGTCCTTTTAACTCTACATATAGTAGTGAACAGAGAGCAAGAAACTACAATACGTCTTCAAGTATCAAACAGAACTAAGTTCTGGCCTCAGACAAGAATGACTGAAAAGCGCTCGCGAGAGGTAAGGTAGCGAGAAGTCTCTCTCTCTCTTCCTTTGCTAAAAGCCATAACTTAAATACTTAACATTTTGCAAGCTCAATTTGCGTAACTAAATATGTTCGCGTTTATTCTGGCCGGAAATGGAAAATAAGAGAGGATAGTAAAGTTTTAAAATAAAATAAACGTTAGTAAAACTTAAAATCCTATTTCTAATTCATAAAGTTAGTTTCTGTCCATAAACTGTTCATCTCAACAATAACTTTAACTACTATGCAAGCTGAGTTTAGAGCTTGAACCCGACACTGGAACTTTCTCTATACTGCCACTATGCAAAAAGCCCTTTCTGCCGAGAGGTCAATGATTTATGCTTCACTAACCTTATCAGGACTACTCTTTCGTCAAATTGCTTTTGCAAACATCTTGGAGTCCTCAGTAAGAACAGGGAGTTTACTTTAAACTATGTTCGTATAAGTGTAGAAGATACGACACAAATGGAAAGGGTTTAATTACCCTTTATTCTCCACAGTTTACAGCTGTTCCCGCACTTTGGGATGCAAAGACCAATACTTATGGTCTGAAACGTAAAATATAAAAACTAAAAACTAACTAAAATAACTAAGAACTAAACTCAAATACTTTACAAAGTCTAGTAACGCGAAGACTGGAATTTTAAACTTTACGTATGTAGTAAGTAGAATGAGAGAAACTACAATACGTCTGCAAGGTATCGGCCTCAGACAAGAATGACTGAAAAGCGCGGGCGAGGTAAGGTAGCGAGAAATCTCTCTCTTTAACTCCTTCTTGGCTAAAAGCCACAACTTAAATATTTAACAGTTTGCAAGCTCAATTTGCATAACTGAATATGTTCATGTTTATTCTGGCCGGAAATGGAAAATAAGAGAGGATAGTAAAGTTTCAAAATAAAATAAACGTTAGTAAAACTTAAAGTCCTTACAACCTCATATCAAGAAGCTTTCCTACATGTGTCCCCAGTGGTGCACTTTCGACAATGCTCTTAGTGATGAGATGCCTAAATGTTCGATGAGTAGTAAATAAACGTTAGTAAAACTTAAAATCCTTACAAGTTAAGTTAAGAATATTAAAAAACAGAGGAAGGTATTTTTATAATACCTTTACCTTTTGCATTGTATGTCATTATTAGTTACACAAATTTTGTAAATATTATCTCATTGCAATTTCAGAGTCGACGAAACGATTTGCTCCAATTGATGTTAGATGCTAAGACCGATGAAACGTCCACTGTCACTACAGATGACCTTACTGCTAAAGATAATATTGACACTACAGAAAATCAAACTACAGGTTAGTATGGGTTTTTAAATCTGTCTTTAAAGCCCAACCTTTTACATATTATTTGCTGCTTTTCATTTCCGTGTCTAATACTTTTATTATCTCGTATCGAAGCAGGTTTCATGGACCATATTCACATATTTAATTATAATAGGTGTGTTTAGTTTAGAAAATTTTTTAATGAATTTTGCACCATGAAAATAAATTGTATTATTTTTTTTAATAAACATGTAATATTTATTTTAAGAACAAAATAATTCTTCATTTCAGTTCTGTAAGATAATTGAAAAGGCATTTGAATATTATTAAATTTTATCACTACTCAGACTTCGGGACGTAATTTTTTGTCGTAAAAGTTAAGTTATGGCAGTAAAATACCCAACGTGAATACTAGTGGCTGTCCTTCAGAAAGTCCTCAACGATGATATCCTTCCTAAGGTCAATTGACATACCTGATTTGCCGTACTTAATTAACTAAACCAGAACTTCTACCATCTGCAGCTGATATTCAAATTTCCCGATAGTTTTCTGTCAGTAAATTCCCTTTTTGTCTTTGCAGTCTATGGTTGAAGATTTTCTTATTCAGAGATGGGAAAGAGTTTCCCATTTTAAACTAAATGAACTAAAAATCTGTATCGTTGGTGTTTTCCAAATGTTGAAGGATAATCAAAATGTTGTCGCAATTTTAATGATTATAAATACTATGGTAATTAAGTTACATTAAGATTTTATAATCTAGATCGAAAGAAATGAACGTAGCATCTTTTAAAGCTGTAGCAATGGTTTGATTTGATCAGCATTCTAGTCCAAACTTAGCTGATACCAGCAGAATTCCAAAACGTCAAAATAATTTCATTTACAATCTGGCTATTCACATTGAGTGGCTGTATTCAGTTCATTGATTGCTGTTTTTTGTTTTACCATAAATCTTATCTTTGATGTGTTTTTCTAAAATGTATTGGCGAAAGGTATAATGAGCGCAGGGGATGTAGAAATGCAAGGAATCGGCAAAACCAGTGTCAAACTGCAAGACAATTCTCGCATTATCCCACTGAATATGGGACATTGTCCTTATTTATAGTAATCTTACTTGGCTACTCTACATATTGAAGTCCTGTTATTCTTCTGAGATATAATTTTACCGCCTTAAACTGCACACAACACGAAGTGGAAGGCAAATTTTAGGGTCTTAATAGGCGTCTGCCTTTCAGACTTGTTTTTGTATATTATTGAATGGGATTAATAACGGTGTCGGAGGGAGAAGACGATTTAAGATCAATGTAATTAAAGAGCAATAATAATTTGACTAGTTTTTAAAAGAAGTAAAAAGTAATAATTTTTAAGACATAGATGAATATTACTTGCATGTCTCCAGATTTCTTAACAATAGTCAATGAATAAAAGTCCTAAAATTAATTTCAATTCTAGTCAAGTAGAAAATATTTTACTTGTTCGTAAAAGAAAATCTTGATTGTCCTATATTCATTGCATATACAGCTTAATCAGTGGCGTATAATATGTACGTAGCTGACCATTCATTAACTCGTTCAAAATTTTAAGTATTTGAGCGGATTTAGAATGATTTACATCGCTTATTTTTTTTCGCCAATGGCGGGCACTTGTTTATAACGGTATTGGCCACTCGTAAGGCTAGAGGTGGTGGCTATTTTATTGTGGAGACACCTAATAGGCGGCCACCGTTACCTCCTATGAAAGGGAAAGACAATTTTACAACCATGCCTTCTCCGGAATGCGAACCCGGGCTCTACGGTATCGCAGTCAGGCTCCTCTAACCACTCTAACCACTCTAGTTCCTCTAACCACTTAGGCTCCTCTAACCACTCTAGTTCAATATGTCGGCAACAGAGTATGTGATATGTATGTTCAATATATAATTTTGTATTTATGCTGTGCCAAGTTCTCATACATAAAGTTCGTACTGTATCTGAATGCCGTAAGGTATCTGTACATGTTTATATCTTTTATTTATGGTACCTAATTTATACTAAGGATCACGCGTATCTCAATGGCATGCTTCTTGTAAACTTTAACTTTCATGATAACGTATATGTATGGGTCATATATATGAGTGAGAGTATGTATACTTTTATTTGTTTCGGAATAGCTATGTATGTAAGTGTGTATATATCTGTATATGAGTTTGTATTTATATGCATATACATATATTTTGGTTGTACTCTTCTTCAAGTGCCTTGTATGCACATGTATATATTTATATGTATATACATATATTTTGATTGCACTCTTTTCAAGTGCCTTGTATGCACATGTATATTTCTTGTACATTGTTGTACTTTTCTTTAAGTGCCATGTATGCACATGTATATCTCTTTTTTGCATTTTATAAATGTCCGTCTGCTCAGCCGCGGACTGGCCCAGAGCTGCGGCCTGGCAGATAGTGGCTTGAACTCCCGTCCGGGTTGGTAACCAATTCTGCATGGATATATCTATACCTGGGTCGGAAGCCAACTCAGCGGTTTACCTCCTCTAACCACTATACCGTTTGGATGGCTCATTGCTTATTTAACTTCAGTGATTTTCATAGCCTATTAAACGTCTGATTGCCTATTTAATTGTCACTCTACAGACGTACAGCCGTTGGTTATTTCAAAGAAGTTTTAAACTTTTCTTTTTCTTATTTCTCAAGAAAAAAATTCATTTTGGGTGCTTTCGATAATCATTCCTAAATTAAGATGAAACTGTATTCAAAAGTTTATCAAACTTCCAATCAGGCTCGTATAAATTATCCGTTCCCATCTTTTCTCTAAGCATTCATACCTGTTTCAGCTTTCGACTTCCTAATTAAAAACAATTCTTTTGATTTGAAGATAAAAATTGCTTGATGATAAAATGTGTTTATTTTTTCTGTTTGAACTCCAGCTCTGTTTAAAGCTACTAACGCTACGATTTAAAGAAGTTACATTTCATGAAATTTTATTATACGCGTAATTTAATTCTTTGCAAAAAGCATGTTGATCAAACATTTTCCTAAAAACAAGCTGAATGAGTTATTGCGTTTCAACTCGAATTCATAATTTTTAGTAGTGTTTAATTTTAGAAAATTGAAATTTATTCTATAAGAATGGCACTAAATTTACTTAGAATGAATATTTAAGAGAAACATATTTTCCAAATTTAAGTGTTTTATAGAAATGAAATACCAACAGAACTGATGTTAATTAAATTCGTGTAAAACGTTACTTATTTCTATTTTATTTAGGTTCATCTTCAGGAAAGATTATCCGGCAAATGACTGATGCTGAAATCATAAGCAATTCACTTCTTTTCTTCTTGGCTGGGTAAAAATTAAACCCTTTACTACTAAAAAAATTACTCAGAGTTTATTAAATTTATCACCTGAATAAGACTACCTACTTTCACTTAAATTCACGTTTGATATTTGCTTATTGATTCTTATAAATGTAATATTAATGAGTAAAATTACTTTCCTTGTTTACTACATAACATGACAATATGATTTTATAACTGAATTAAAGAACTAAGTTATGAAATTAAGATTGTTACACGCACTTTTAAACTACAGATGTTTCACAGGATTTTAAATTTCCGACTACCTTTTTTAAGATAGCAAAATGAAAATTCTAAAATTTAGTTTAAGTTTTGTTATAGATGCATGTCAGGTTACAAACACGAGCAAAAAATGAATGCCTATGTCGATAGGCTCGTAGCTATTTGAACCTGAATACGCTACAAATGACAGAAAAAAAACTACTACTCCTTCTTCACTGGTAATTAAACATTATATAAAATCACTGATATCTTAAAATATTAATATATCATCCACCAGATCCTAGATTCTTGCAACCTTTGAAGTAATATTTATTCAAGCAAACAAATCGAGTAAATAGTTACTTTCTTTTCATTAGTTAGACATTAGTTGGATCTAATTTCTCAAAACATGACATTCTTTTCTAATAACATGTTTACTTGCGTATTTCCCCAAATCTCTCTTTTTTTTTTCTAAAGTTATCGTACAAAAATCGAGACGGAAAATTCATGCGAATTGTTTAATTTACGAAGGAAGCGGTTACAGTAAGAACAAAACAAACGAAATGTATTCATGAATAACTACTGATAACCATCCCATTATTATTTTTTTCAAAAGAAATCAGCATTCCAATAAGAATACGGAGTAATATTAACATTACACTGGCTAATAAGATATTTCAATTTCGGCTTTTCTGTATCTTGAATCTTCCGCAATCTTATTGCTATCCATTCGGAAAATTTAAAGCTGCTGTCAGCATGCAAATCATTGCCATCCTCATCGTAACTATTCAGGCTGTCTTCGCACGTCCTCGATATTCTTCACTATTATTAGTTTATCAGTCACAGAGTTACAAACTAAGGCTTCTACTGTATTATTTTTAAGCGATAAGTTGTAAAATATTCTAAAAGCCGTGCGTCTAGTTGAAAGATTACCTAAACAGCCAAGTACCAGAAATCTTTATAAGGACATGCAAACCTATCCCCCTTAACTTCAAAATACAATTAAAATATTTTAAATGAATGCACAAATTAGACAAAAATTATACAAGTTTTTATCAAATTCTCAGGGCAATTACATAAAATGTTTTGTATTGAAATTACGTTTTCAAATGATTTTTCACTGAACATAATGATTATTGGCAACAGGCAAACTACTGGTAATAAAAATTAGGAATTCGTATGTAATAATAGAAGGCTTTCCATATTTTGTTAATATTCAAATGTTTGCTGTGTGGCTCAATAATTTTCAAGGTAATCATAAACATTATTACAATCAGTAGTAGAGGCATTAGGTTATTTTTGAAACAGGAAGAAGTGAAAAAATGAGCAACGCCTTCGCCTGGAATCGAGCCACGGACCTCTGGAAGACGCACACAGCGTGCTAACCACTGCACTACGAAGGCATGCTTAGAAGGCTGGAGAAATACCTTATACAGTTATTATCGAAATTTACCTTGAACCGGCATTTTAAACAACACTAAGGGGTGCAGTTTGAAAAATCTTACGAAACATTGAGTTAGTATATATAAAAAAATGCAACTTTAATATCATCAAATTTTCTGACTTGAATCTTTTTTAATTTCTTTCATTTTTCCGTTTAATTGATTTTAATGCTTTTAACTTCAGTTTCACGTTCTTAATTTTGTTTTGAAAAGTCTTTCATTATTTTTCAGTGTATAATGAAACCGATTACTAAAGTTAATTTATTATTTTTTTCTAGGTATGAAACGACGAGCAATGCCCTTGCATTTACTACACATTTTCTACTAAATTACCCTGAAATACAAGACAAAGTTAGAGAAGAAGTGCTACAGCTTTTGAAGTCCGAGGTATAAATTAATGTTTTTGTAAATAATATGTCATTAATTTTGTTTTTATTAAATCACATGACATTCATAATGTTATCCAAGTCGATATTTTTATTTAATATGATCACATTCTAAAATGTTCAGCTTCCATAAAGAAGAGGAATTCACCTTAAATACCTGTATGTTAGTTAGAGCAAAACAAAACAGATTTTGTTAAACAAGAAATAAACTAGGCTTTATTTTGCAAACCCCCACCATGAGAAATAAAAATAAATATGGTAAATGCTTTTGTGTCGTCCAGTATAGCATAGCATTTTTTTTATTATTATTATTTTGATTTGTCTTTAGTACACTAAAACCTTGGATTCCAAACGCTTCTTATCACGCTTGATTCACGAACAAGTTAACTGAAAGCAGATAAGGACAAAAAATCGTTTCGAGTGACAAACAGTGCCTCGAGTTATGAACACCCAAATCGTGGCTCTAGTAGTTGATAACGGTAGGAAAGGATTTTTCAGTGTGTTTTGAGGTAACTCGTGTCATAGAATTAACACTCAACGACTTCTGAAAACACCATTTTAATATACCCTGTTGTTTAACTCTCACCAACAAAGCCTGGCAGCAACCAACCTTGCTGCCACCAACAAAGCCAGGCAGCAACCAACCTTGCTGCCACCAACAAAGCCTGGCAGCAACCAACCTTGCTGCCACCAACAAAGCCTGGCAGCAACCAACCTTGCTGCCACCAACAAAGCCAGGCAGCAACTTGGAGAACATTATTGTAGAAGATTGTGTTACTTAGAGAGACAATTTAAGGACTTTCACACTTAGGACATTTTTTGTTATCCATGATATCGTGTCCATAAGCAAAACCATGGGTTTGGAAGTTAGCAAAGAAGTCATGAAAGTGTTACTTGAAGACTATAAAATGAGCTCAACAAGAAAGAACTGCGATAACTTGAGAAGCAGCAATAAAAAAGACGATTGTAGAGGAAATGTTTTAAATAGAACAAGAAAGCAAAAAAAAAAAAAAAAAAAAAAAAGTGATCCTAAGTTTCTTTGTTCTATTCACTTAACGATATCATAGAATAAAGTAGTAGCAAGCTACAGCATTTTTTAACGGCCAGTGCCATGATTGGCTTTAGAAAAAATTTGAAACATAGACAATAACAAATCGTATTTGTCAAATTTTAAGTGAAAAATGCTCACTGAATCTCGAACAAATTCAAGTGTCTCTGAGAGACAAAAGAAGGATGAAAGAAGTTTCTTGTAACTATACAAGTAGTTTTTTTATGCTTTTTGGGAAGGGAACTCCTCGTCCGAACAATATCACCCCTTCGCTTTCCTTATTCATCACTTTCTACTTATGCTCCTCACTCTGCTTCATAGAAGCTCGATAAAACTAAATTAAATGTTATCTGTGTTTAATACTGTGCTTATCTTTTTTTATCTTATATTTCATGATATTCGTTAATATTTTTGCCCTGAGCTTGTGCAAAGAATGCTGCTGTAAAACTTAAGTAAACAATCAAAAATTAACCATCCATGTAATTTGGAAATCCTCGTAGCTTATTTTGGTTAAGATTACGTATAACTATTATAGTTTCAAGAGAGCTTTGGTTCTGATAATGGGAAATCTTGCTTCTTTTTTAAGTAAAATCTTATTAGAGTAAAACATTGCTTCTGAGCGTGACTAAGCTGCCGAAAACTGTTTGCTTGCAGATTAGAACAGGACGATCAGCCCGGCGTGATGTTAAGTCAAAGTAGCTTAAGTCGCGGTTTTATTGACCGAGAAGACTATTGCATGGTTTCACGTCTTCGCCTTTTTTATATAACCGAAAATGTTTTCTGATGAAGTTCTAGAAAAGCCACGTTGAAATTCTCAACAAGCACTTAAAAGCGAGAAATGGTGAATTAATTAAATAAAGTTTTAGAAAAGTAGCGACTACATTGGAGAGAGGAATTATCTTTCGAATAAAAAATGCTTAAAAGATTAAAATTAAAATTTAGTTACAGATATAAAATAAATGAAAATATTATAAATAATTGATTATACCGTGACAGTCGATCAGTGGCATGAAAGGCTCAACGCCACAGAATTAAATCTCTAAAAATCATAGCCCAACGTAGCCTGGAATAGGCAGACAAGCTCTACACTAACTGCTAAAATCTTGCTTAAATAGCACTTCTTTCTATCTTATCTGAATAAACGCTCGCTGTTTCATTTACATTCTGGCATGAAAATTGTGGGTGAAGAGAGAGTGATAGGAAAGTTCTAAAACTTAAAATTAATTATTAGTTAAAAATAAATAGATAAACCTCACATCTTGATTGTATTCAGGTCTTTTAATGTTGAAAATATAATACCTGCTTTTGATGTCGTCGATAGTTCTCTTTTTTGAAATATCTTAAGTAAATAAGTTAAAATATCCTTCAAAATAAATGCCTTTTTTCACCTGCAGAATGAATTGGATTACTATTCAGTAAACAAGCTGCAATATTTGGATAATGTGTTACATGAGTCCCTGCGACTTTATCCTCCAGTTCATCTGTGAGTAGTTCTCTTCCTGGTTTATGAAATGTTAACTACATAGATTCATGTTTGCATTTTATACAGTTTTATGATTCTGTTGCATTTAATATTGTTACTTGATAGATTTGTAAGCAGAGAATGTGGAGAAGACGTACAGTTTGATAAAATTCGTTTAAAAAAAGGATTAGCCGTTCAAGTACCTGCATTTATTTTACACAGAGATCCAGAACTGTGGGAGGATCCAGAGAAGTTTAAACCAGAAAGGTAAGTATCGACTGCGAAAAGTTCTAATAAGAAATTATATACAAAAGTCAGATCGTTGCTAATATACTTCACTTTTGCTTTATTTTGTGCGGCAAATTCTACGAAGTGCTTATAATTGTCTTAATTAACAGATAGCTTACTTAATCATTAATGTCTTAACAGATTTGCTCCTGAGAACAAAGAAAAACTTAACCCTTTAGCATATCAACCCTTTGGAGCTGGGCCTAGGAACTGCGTTGGTATGAGGTTTGCTCTCATGGAAGCTAAATTAGCCTTAGCCAGACTTCTATCAAAGTATAAGCTCAAACGTTGTGCAGAAACTGAAAGTGTAAGTGTATGCCTTTATAGACTTGAAGAATTCTCTAAACGATGAGTCTACTTAATTCATTTATTAAGCTATAATTAATAAGCTATTACTACATTATGATTAAAAGGCTTCATTTACTCAGATCAGTGTTGAATGTAAATCAAAAATACGTTAGAAAAGCATAACCATCAAAAACTTCTATAGTTTATTCTTTCCCTTTATAGCTTGTTTTTCCATTGGAAGTGTGGCCTCTCTTTAAAATAAGTCATACTAAAAAACGTGTTAATTTTTTTAAGAAGTTAGCTACTATGATGGATCATTATAGGACATTCCTGTCAATATTATGTTATGTATGAGGTTTATGCATGATTTTACATGCTATCCATGATAAATTAAATGTCAATTATCCTCAAAGTGCTTTAAGAGTTCAATTTGAAATAAAGTAACACTAATCTGAGAAGTGTATGTCAAATTAGAATGAATACGCTGAAACTCTTGAATTAATTACTATGTTGGATCATTATTTGGAATTGATGTCAATATTTCTTATTATATATGGATGATTACATTATGCATGATTTCATTTGCTAAGTATGATAGATTAAATGTCAAATATTTTCAAAGAGCTATAAGGGTTCAGCGTTAAATAAAATATTGTTATTTGTAATGCGTAACTTTTAGCTTAAGTTAGAATGAATAAGTTTAAAATGTTTTGAGACTCATCAAAAATAATTACAATACATAATGAAGAAAGTATTCCGAGTTGAAACATATTTACATTCCAATTTGGGAAAGGGAACCAAGCTCTCATTTCCGCAGTTGAACATTAATTCTAGGTATATATTCAGACTTTGTTTTGAGTTCTCCCTCACAGATCCAGCTGTAATTCGAATTTAGGCAATACGTTATATTGTTGATATTATTCTCAGTAATTAAAAATAATTCGCCTTCCAGGTACTTTGTTGAGAAAGTCAAGGCTGCGTTACATTGAATATAATAGTAGTTATGAAGTTGTACAGTAGATGGTGGCGTCATATTAAGAATCTATGTGACGTGTTTACATTACAAAAAATAAAGTTTTAGGATATTTAGTGGTTTAAAGTAGGATGCGTACAAGAAAATCCAAGGTATTTTTGTAGAGAGTTTCAAAGAGTTAACCTGCATTATTTTTATAAATTAATCTTTCTGGTGAATAAAAGAAAGAGATTTTAGAATATTCGAGTAAATATCTGTAGCATAATATAATAGTAAGAAATGAAATATTTTTGACATGCATTTTAATAAACTGGGTAGAAAAGCACCGGCATTATTTAAATAGACTTAATGGTATGAAAATGTATTACTCCATATAAGTTTTGTTTAAAGTCAGTTGACATCACTTATGGTATTTAAAATATCAAACAAAACCTTCCGTTTCAGAGTATCAAATATGGTATGATAAGCCGTCACTCACATTTCGCTCAAGAATAACATTTGATACGGTGGGCCCGGGAAGGAAAACTGAAAGGTTATCATATATGATACGCTGGGAATGAAGAGGTTAAGTTTTTTTTTTCGGGGGGGGGATAATTTTCCGATCAAGTACACGTAATAAATTTTTGTAAGGTAACAGATATCCTTCGATGCCAGATTTTTAAACTGATTTCTAAAACAAATCTGTTGTAATTTTGGTAAATGTAATTTTTCAAAATTTTATAAATGTAAATTTTATACTATACAATAAAAACAAAGTTTTCAGATATGTCTTTCTAAAAATATAAGCATTTGTGAAAAGATAATTAAAACTGATAATTTCGCAAATGTAACCAATTTAGAATGAATTCTTTAAACAATTTTGGAGCAAATCTTTACGTAAGATTTAACTAACAAAATAATGAAATCATCAAAGCCTAATTTTTTTCCAAGATGAAATATTTTTATTCAATTTTAATCTTTTTAGCTCATGTAAACGTAGTATTCAATCATAAATTATTATTCTTTTATGCATTAAATTACGTATAAAATTAGCACTGTCATACAATACTACAACTTCTCGTTCTTTTATTTTATTTACAGGAACCAATACCATTAATGATAAGACGAAATTCTATAAAACCTGGAAAGGGAGTTTATCTGAAGGCTGTCCCATTCTAATCTTAGGCAGGAAAATATGAAACCATGTTATGCTTGTAAATATAGAAACTCGTGGAATAAATTTGTCACATATTTGTTTCAGTAACCGATGTTATACCAATGTTTTGTGTATTTTAACTAACAATGTGTTGTGTATTTTAAATTGTAATATAGTACATTATCAATGATATTGTTTAGTCAGTGATGCTTTGGATTTGATGGTTTAATGTTTGGAATAAGTGTTTCATTAAAAAATACTCCATAATTTTTCTTCTTATTCAGTTTTAAATTGTTGTTTCTGGAGAAATGTCTCCCATTTACTTAAGTTCCCATAATAGCTGCTTAATAACCCTCTATTCGTTGCTGAGCTCTTTAAATGCAACTCACAGCTCGCCGAACTCATTCCCATTGTAAAATGATTAAAAATAAAGAATTATATATAATCCACGTAGTGACATTAAATCAACATTAGTTTCCACCAGGAACAAGTTTTATCCTAATTCATATATTCTTGCTGCCTTTCGCTTCAGAATATTGCTTTTCGAATAGAGTTCTTTCAACAACCCGAAATGTGTCATCTTTGAGAATGATCAAAAGCAGCTCTTGATCGGAGAGTCCTGTATTATACATAAAATTCCATTACCTATACAACTTTGAGGAACAAATTTTAGAGCCACAACCATATGAATATATTGTCTGAAATTTTTCATAATTTACATATATCGATGCAAATCATAATTCCTGAATTTTTCTCGATATGCACGATTTTGATTTTTTTTTTTTTAAATATGAATCAGCACAATTTTGACCACAGAATGAAAAAGGGAAATCACCTTATGAAAGTCACCCCCTAATTATCGACCAACTTAAAACTAACATTGTGGAACTTGGCATTAATGAAATTAGTCAGAATGCAGTTTTAAAAAAAAAATTGAATAGCTAGTTAGTAATCCAAAGAGAACATTCTGAGCACCTCCTGCATATTCTTTCAGCAATTTTCAGCGGCTTTTATCGCTCGGCCGCCAGCACTGAGTTTAAAGATTAATTAACAGCTAATATTCGAAATTCGTTTAGCCGAATATCCTCGTCATTTGAAGAAAAGGCAATGCGCTTATATTTGGACACCGTTGGAAACGATACAGTGTTTGTAAAACTAAAGCCAAGCCGGAGTTCGTTTTCTCATATTTTACTATCCTAAATATTTTAATTTACCTAATTTTTTTTTCTAATTAGGAAATAAAATACCAGGAACCAGGAAATTTAGATCTGTTATAAATTTCATTTTCCTATCTTAAGGGAATTTTCTCATCAGATGTTTTTTCCGAGAGGAATGGTAATCGAGGCGCCAAAGCAGTGGTGACATCTGGTGGCGCATGCACAAAGATGGCACTTAGAATAGGAATCGAAGGAATTATTGGAACCAGATGTTAGCTTGGGGCATGAACTGCAAGGAAAAGCCTTGAATTGCATTATTTATTTTCTGCATCATACGTAGCAAACAAATCTTACTTCGAGATGTAACTTTTCGTGATACTAGAGCATGTGCACTGTACTGAGTTCCGTCGTTTCTCAAGGGACGACAAGGTTATTACAACCCGAGTAAAAGCGTAAACGTTAACTATTGTACAGCTCATGGTGTTAAAAGTGTTAAATGATGAACGAGGTTGAAAAGGTTGCAGTCAAGTGAGCTTCGAAGGAGTAAATATTTTGTTTGTTAATGATTTCGTTTTGTAAAAGTTTTATATAAATGTTTCCTAAAAATATTGTAGTTCTTATTTGCATTATAAAAGTGAATAAATTGTTCAAGAGTAGGGCAATGCACCCTTATGAAATTACATCCATTCTTCCACATTTTCGTTCCAAAACCACTTGAACATAAAGCAAGATAGCAAGAAAGGACAAGAATGAACAACTGTCGGTTCCTAAATAACGAAATCTAAAAATTGAATTGCATTGTCAAAAGTAAATACCATTATCTTTATAAATTTATGAAGGGCGCTCCACGTTTTTATTATTCGTGATATAAAATTGTAGATGAATTCTGCTAAACGAATTACATAATCACATGTTTCCATTAAACTACATGGTAAAATATTTTTCTACTTCATTAATTATTTTATGTGTTTTAAATAAAACGTTATTTTATAAAATCTTTATTAAATTTTTTATCCATATTCTAAGTTTATACTTTTAAAACCTACACATGAAAAGTAAATAACATTTTTATTTTAAAATACTACAAGAGGATTTGGAAGCCCCTTGTAATTGGGGAACCAGTGTATGTGCCCTTTTACTCCATGCAGAAATCAGGATCTGGGCACTATCACAAGTGTCTTGAGTTTTAAATTTTCAAGGTTGGGGAAACTTAACAGTTTTTTAGAGCCTGAATCTATTTCCAAATGATATGGTTTCGCGATCTTCGTGACAGACCAGTTACATGGCCTTCATTTGAGAGTTACATTTCGTGAGTGACCAGTTAAGCAGAAATGTCGTGTTCATCAAATTTAGGTGATGAGTGCAACCTAATTCGATACCACCTTTCACAAAACAAGAAAAGAATTCGTGATCTTAATGTGCTTAATAGTGAAAGATGAGATATAAATTTATAGTTACTTAAGGAGAGACGCATGTAAAGCTGCTAAATCTGCTACAAACAAGAAGAATTTAAGCGTGATACGAATAAGATAAAAACAAATACGACACTTAAAATAGCATTCTTTATCTCAGTTTTAGGAAGTTGGCAAAATGGTTTCTGTAAAATACCACCTAGATATAACGGAAAAGTCCTGGATTAAAAGCATTTGCATTACCCCCAAAAAAATCATTCACTCACTCTCTTAAATAAAAAGAAATTTACAACTTCATGCATCTATGTCCGGTGTTTAATGTAAAGAAATGGTACTAAAATTTTAAAAATTAAATGCAATATACACTGACTATTTTACATAAACATGTGATTACGTAAATTAAAGTATTTGTTCGTTGACATTAGTCAAAATTATTTGCTCGTACTCTACGCGTATTCAAAATGTGCTCTTACAAATAATTTACGACGAAATCCCTAATCATAAATAATCGGTTAAAAGTTTAGGCAAACTTTTAATATAACGCTTACTAAACAAATTATTAAACATTGTTTATTAATACAAAAGTCATTAAAAATTAAATATTTAAAGAAATCCTTATTACAAATAATCAGACAAAGCTCACAAGGGTTACCTGTCTAAGAAGAGGGATGACTTTGCGGGGAAATCTAAGGCAAATTGACTCCAATCAAGTTACACAAAAAGAAAACCACCAAAATTACAATGCGGCTAGCCCCCTCCACCAAGTGTCGAACCCGAGCCAAGCTACGAGGGTTCAACCATCTTATGCACTCGGCCACTAATGGACCTTACTCGTAAAATTCGATTTGCCTTCCTAATTGGGTGTTCTATGCCACCTTGTATGGCACGATAGTTAGCGGTGCTGGCTGCTATCACGCTGAGCCGGCTTCGAATATTTAGCCAACGAGATACTTAGCCGACACGGCATTAAGCCGACACGGACATTTACCCGACATGAACAGTTAGCTGACAGTACATTTAGCCGACATGACACTTAACCGACACCGACATTTAGCGGACAGATCATTTATAACCGATACGAACACTTAGCCGACAGGGAACTTAAATCGACAGCACATTTAACTGACACGGACATTTAACTGAGACGGATATTTAGCCTGCAGGACTTTTAGCCGACTCAGATAGCTAGCCAACATATTTAGCTGACAGGACATTTAGCCGGCAGCGTATTTAACCGACTCGGACATTTAGATGATAGGACACTTAGCCAACAAGATATTCAGCCGACAGCAGGTTTAGCTGACAACACATACATATAGACAAAAAATATGAGACAATATTTTAGTAAAATTTGTGCATGTTTATCTGAAAAAAAAAAAAAAAAAAAAAAAAAACGCATTTTCCAGGTTTATGAATAACCACCTTATTTTTGATTTTATTTCACGTTAAAGAAACTATGGATTTTAAATTTAAACTGAAAAGCAACCTTATTTTGGCTTAGCTATTTTAAATCAATTTCGAGAATAATCAGATATAGGTTTCTATATTTCGGTTCGGTTTGGTTTATTTGATTATGGCAAAGTACTCGACGACTAGCTGTCTAAGAGGAGGGATGCCTTCGTAAGGACTTTCTAAGGGAAAGGGGCTCATATACGCATTACATATGAGAAAAATTACGAAAACGCCCATGCAGCCGTCCAGGACTCGAATGCCGTTCACCAGCATTCGAGTCCTGGACCGAACTACCAGTTTTCAGAGACTGTACTGCTCGGTCGCTATTGGGCCCGGTTCTCTATATTTCAGACGTAGGAAAGAAAACTTCAGCAGTCGGGAAAAGAGAATCGATTTTATATGGAAAGAAAATGAGGGAAGCAAAGTGAAAACAAATGATAAGATCTGTCACGGAAAACAATAATAAGATAATAAGATCTGTCACAATAATAAGATCTGTCACGGAAAATAATAATAAAAAAAAGTGACAAAGATATTAGAATTTTAAAAGCGGTGAAAAATTAATTCATTAACTGAAGAAGAAAATTTTTTGAATGGATCACTTATGTAGATCAAAAGTCAATACTGTGATTTTAAGTGTGCAGTTGTGATTAACTATCAACTGCTTTATTTCTCCTTCACAAACATACAATTTATGTTCTCTCCCAAAAATTTTCAACGATTTTTCAGTTACGGCGATATACGAGTAAGTCAATAAAATAAAATTATTACATTTATAATACTTGCATTTTTTAGAATTAATATATTTTCGGTTTGTTAGAAGATTGTAGCTTCAAAATGGTGCTATATATTTTTTTTAATAATTTGCTCTGCTTTGCCAGCAAAAAGTAACGGTTATAACAATAAAGTAAAGAGCGAATTCCATTTTTTTGTAAAATAAACCCATAAATACCACTTGAAAATCTTCATTGTTAAATATCCTGTTTCATAACATTTCTAATAATTTCCTCTATAGGGTGCATTGTATTTTTCTTTAGTAACACACGCCTCGTAGTTAATTGAACTGTCCGTGTCGACTAAATGTATTTGTCGGTTAAATGACCTGTCAGCTAACTACTGTCGGTTAAATGACCTGTCTGCTAACTACTATCGGTTATATGCCTCGTCGGATAAGTGGTTATCGGCTAAGTGTCGGCGACCACAATTTCTCTTTCGCACAAATGTAATGTCGATCTATCCCATTCAGTGCGTCCCGAGCAACGCTCTCGGAGATGAGATGGAGTAATCGGAAGCTTTCTCGACGCGTACTCAAGAAGTCCAGGATTAGAGACCCGGCGAGGGTGTGTGTGTGATTATGGCAAAGCCTCGAGGGCTATCTGCCTAAGATGAGGGATGCCTTCGTGGAGGACTTTCTAAGGAAAACTGGCTCGTATACACGTTACACATGGGGAAAACCACGAAAACGCCCATGCAGCCAGCCCGTTCGCGGGATTCGAACCTCGCACCGAACTACCAGTGTTCAGCGACTTTACCGCTCGGCCGCTGGTGGGCCCCGGCGAGGGAACTACACATTTTTCACCTCTCCTGCTTTAAAAAACCTTAATGATTTCACAAGTTTTTGCCATATTTTCTTTGTGGCTACCTAAAGGTGGAGTAATTACGTGACAGCTTTAACAAGCAAATGTTTGGCCATCTGAAGAATTTTGCAGTGATTCTTATCATTAAGTATTATTGATGCAATGAAATATGAATTTCTTACGTTAGCATATAAAATAATGTACAACAGGCAAAAGCTAGGTTTAAAGCTTACTTCTTTATTTGTGCATAAACAAATAATACGAATACAAGAGAACAAAATCTTTATTTAAATTTTTCACTATAATAGAGTTACCTACACACAGAGATAGAAAACATATAAACTGCATTTTGTGTAATAAAGTATAAAAATTTTAATACAGTTTAGCAAGCTCGTTTCCCATAAATCTTGCCATAGGAATATGAAAGCGCATACTTCACTTATTCACGTAACTGAAATAAATTACAATACATGCACGTGATTTAACCATATGTATTTCTTTTAAATGAATAAATTACTACCGTATATTTATGAAACAGATGCTGAAAATAAAAATATTCAAATCTTTGGCATCAATTGTGAATCTCTATTAAGGTTCCAAAACAAAACAAACAAACAAAATGGGAGAAAAAACGTTGTGTCATATTTCTCAAACAGGAACTACTTTCTTGGATAGCGAAAAAGTAAAAAGTTTTCTTGTGCAAATTTTTATGAAATTTAAGGAATTTTTCAAGATAGAGAAAAATTCTAAGATGCGAGCACTAAATTATGTGCACTTTTTTTACGGATACGCCGACGCAGCAAAATGCATGAAAATATTTACGAGCATAAATGTTCATGGAAATGCATAGCCCGCTATGCCAATATAATGACGCATATTAAAATATTAATATTTACTTTGTACAAGGTATTTCATGAAACATTAAATAAATGTTAAAATTAGTTCAATAGACACCGGTCATCATCTTACGTTTCGCAATTTTTCTTTTACAGAAACGCTTTCCTAAGAACGCTAACTATAACTATAGCAGTAGCATACTTTCTTTATTATAATCTATTGCTGTACTCATTGTGACAAATGTCGATCAACGACATATATTTAAAAAAACTCCGTTTAGCAGTATAAGTTAAAGCTTTCTTAATGATTCAAGTTTCTTTCTTTCCTAACTGAAAGGAAGAAGCGAGTTACAATTTAATTTTGAGCATAGCCTCTGCGATATAATTTATCTAATACATCAATCATTTAACAGCAAAAATGAAACTATGAACAAATTAAGGTTTTAAGTTACTCAAGTGACTAGTCATTGACTTGAAAATATCAAGAATGAACTGTATTTCCTAGAATTTGCGTTTGTCTTAGATATGCTGCTCGATAATTAGCATTAGTGAAACCCATTCATCGTGCTGTTCTGCAGACACATGACGTAGGAAATTTGTAAAGCCGTACGTAAGGGCATGTTTCTGCGCTTTCTGGATCAAAACTAATAAGTTGATGATGGCTGTATTTCTGTACGCACATAGATTGATTTGAGCTGCACATCTCACTTGACCTGCAAGGATCTCCAGGTTTCCTAGAAAGAAGGTTTTATGTTATTAGCATAAGCTACGACAAAATATTTTTAAAAATTAACTAACCGTCTAACAAAAATTAATAACAAAATATTTAGTAATAATTCAGTTCAGCAAATTAATATTTAAATAAATGTTATGTGTTTTTGTTCCGAAGCAGGCAAGATACTTTAAATATTACCTGTAAAGCTCGAAAGGGTTGCTTGATTTTGTATTGTTTTAAATCGCCATATTCGAGACTGAAGACTATACGGTTTTGAATATTGCAATCCAAGTTGCTGAGAATTGTGAAATTCATGGATCCGGATCTTTTAATAGCGAACATTTTGACTCCAAGTATTCAAGTAACGGTATAGACATAAACAAGATTTTATCAGACTTTTTAGCAATGATACCAATATTATAATCAAGAAAAAAATTATAAACTAAATTTATTCAATGTAGTGAGCAGTAAAATAGATAATAATTTATGAATACAACAATATTTTAACTTCATATATGTGATCAATCGTTCCTCCCAAATACCCTTTCCTTTTCTTTGAGTGGTTAAAGGGCCATATCGATAGAAATATCAGTTATCACTAGCATCATTTTTCACCTTAATTATATATACAAGTCTTCATGCTTTCTGTGTTGTGCTTAAATATAAGTAATCAAAAAACCCGAATGTTATGCAACTCAAATGCAGAGTCATTCAACAATTATATCCTAAATATGAGATATTCGCTATTCAAGGATCATAGCATCAAAGTGGGCTTGTATTTACATTGACAAATTTGCTTCGCAGGCATTACAATGCAGGTGTGATATGGCAGTTCCTATCTACACGGTTATCTGTGTATCATATCTATTTACATGCTTTTAAAGACGCTATATACATGCTTCGAAACTTTGGAAACGATAAATGAAGGTAGCAGTAAAAGTGTAAGGTATTTCTCCCGTCTTCCTAGCCTGCCTTCGTGGTGTAGTGGTTCTGCACTCTGGGTTGGTATTCCAGAGGTCCGTGGTTCGATTCCCGGCGAAGGCGTTTGCTAATTTTTCATCTTGCCTCCTTCCCATAAATCACCTAATGTCTCTACAGTGGCGCCCGAACTAAAAGGGCTGTGGATGATGACTCTCCACACGCAGGATTTGGCGATTTGGTCCCTTAAAAACGCCAATGGCCCTTTAAAAGGGGGAGTATATAAGATATTTCTACCGCCTTCCTAGCGTGCCTTCGTGGTGTAGTGGTTCTGCACGCTGGGCCGGTATTCCAGAGGTCTGTGGTGTGATTTCCGGCGAAGGTGGTTGCTAATTTTTCATCTCTCCGGCTTTTCCAATTAACCTAATGTCTCTACAGTGGCGCCCGAACTAAAAGGGTTGTGGATGATGACTCTCCACACCCAGGATTTGGCGATTGTGTCGCCTAAACACCCAGTCGCCCTTTAAAAGGGGGAGTATGTAAGGTATTTCTCCCGCCTTCCTAGCGTTCCTTCGTGGTGTAGTGGTTCTGCACGCTGGGCCGGTATTCCAGAGGTTCGTAGTTCGATTCCCGGCGAAGGCGATTGCTAGCTTTTCATCTCTTCTGCTTCCAAAAATTATCTAATGTCTCTACAAGGGAGCTATGTAATACATCTGGCGTAAGCTATTAGGATAGAGATGCACCTACTAAGCAGTCCAGAGATATATTAAACTGTCCGGATATCATTATATACATTTATCGAAATCCTTGAAAGCTTCATTCTAGATCCAAGGAAAGCTCATTAATTTATTTTGTGCCCGCGTTGAGGTTATGGTAAAGTATATTAGTTTTACCTGAGGTCAACGTATCAGCGGGAATGATTAACTAAGAAAGCATACTTTTAATGAGTAAAACTTAGCGAAGTTTTGCGAAACTTAAAAAGAAGCGGAATGCAGATAATTTTAGTTCATACATACCTGCATACTTCAAGCGCTATCCTTTGAGGAAATGCTTCAGTCTGAATGATGACATGCCATTTCCCTCTAATATCCTGAGCAAAACTTGGTCTTATTAAATTTCTCTCTACCTCACACAAAGGCTTTTTAAAATGCGTTGGAGTTTCCTTCCACTGCCAGTAAGGTCTTGGAACTTGGTCACTAATGTTCCTGGAGAGAGAATAAGAAGCAATGTCTTCCATTATTCCTAAATCTTCCGGAACTTCAACAAACATACGACTCACGAGTTCTTCACAAACTTCCATTATCTGGGATACTTCAGAACTGAAAATATAACATGTTGGAGAGCATTACTGAACTAAAAATTTAAGAAAATAAAAAATAACTAATAAAAATGAAGAATTAAAAAACATATATAATTCTCCAAAGCAGCTCATATAATTGGTTGCCCAAACAGTAAAAACCATATTTTGTGATCGTTTCATAATAGATTAAAGCAGTACCATCAGTCGTGTTGTAGTACATAATAAGAGAGCTAAACATTACTATTATCAAAATCTTATTCAAAGTGAAGGATGTAAGTAAAGACCTTGCGTTATATTATATATTGACAAAACTTGGCTTAAAAATGAACAGTTTTGCTTCAAATCGATTGAATTTGGATTGAACTGACTATGGCAGAGCTCACGTTGGCTCCGCCTAAGAAGAAGCATGTCTTCAGAGGAAACTTTCTAAGGGAAACTGATTCATATTCACATTACACATAGGAAAAAAAACTAGGAAAGTTTCCATGCAGCCAATCAGGTCGCCAGGATAAGAAACTGGATCGAACTACCAGTGCTCAACGATCTTACCATACTGTCGCCTGGTGGACTCTCTTTAACTCTTTGCAGCACAGTGTGTCCGATCTGGACACACCTAAACATTCCTTCTGTACGCACAGAAAAATTGAATGAAAAAGGATTTATAGGTTACTCTGATTATAGGATTTATAAGTTCTTTATTTATAGTAGATAGCAGCTCAACACAAACCAGTCCATATATTTTAGCCATGTTTAGTTTTTTAAGACCCTCATTTTTCAAAGAAATCTTCCAGATTTTTTTAGGGTATAAAAGAAATTGTTTGAAAAGAAATTTCTATGTTATTTTTTTGGCTGTATGCTAATCTGCTTATTCTAAATTAGTTTTAAATTTTTACCTGGAAATCTTGCTTAAAATCAAACGACGAATCCTAGGTGTGCCCAGACCGGGCTCACCGATAATCTAGGACAACTGAGAGTCTGTATTTTTTGTTTCTTCGCATCTCATCGGTCAGTTCATTGATAACAATGCTCGTTTCAGCACTCTTTTCGAAGCTCTATTCCAATCAGTGTGCCCACTTTGGGCACACCCACAGAATTAAACGATAAGTGCTATCTTCACAAAATTTTACTTGTGTACTCCTCTAGGCCTAATTAGACTGCTTACCTTTTGTTTCATCAAAACTCCAACTTTAAAAGGTTGCGTGCAGGAAAGGATTAAAATAAAGTAATTCCGTTGCTTTTAAAAAAATATTTGGATTTAATTGCTTAAATATATCTCCTCTAAAGAATGTACGATTGAAATAAATCAAGTTTCCGAGCTAATTCATTAGAAATTCAATTACCTCAGTCGATAGGAAATTTGTCTTATGCAATTCAGAAATTAATACAATGGAACTACCGAGTATATCTATTGTGCGCATTCATAATATATCTTGTTTTTAATTTTTTAAGTATATCTAAGTTACATAGTTAGTCTACTAGATTTTCAAATTCTTAAAATGTTTAAAATATTTTCCAATAAATTTATGGGAAAGGTTCTATGCAATTCAAATCAGCACACTTCAGTGGTTAATCTTTATATTCTGCAGAAAATTTCTGCTCTTTCAAAAAGAAGTATACTTGTGTACCTGAATGCAAATAGTTAATTCCTGAAATTAAAATACGCTAAGGTTGAATTTTGCCTAAATTTAATTTTTCCCTTTTTCATACAAAACTAAAGATATTACATATAGGTTTCGTTTCGAAATTCCTTTCTATTACAAGTTTTAGCGGTATAGTTCTTGATCAAAATTTAATAGTTTCGCAGGAAATAAACTCACCATTTCTCAAAAAGCCCCTTTAAACTGCTCCTTAAATATACTCAAACCATGCATTTAATCCGAAATATACCTCTTTCCTTGCGTATTTCCCCACTTTTTTTTGCTACTTTTATCTTTCGAAAATCGAGAGAGGCCTCTGTTCAGATCATCCATAAATAATTAGAGAATATGAATGCGCAGCTGTTTCAGCAAAATCGTAGACTGAATGTCATCTCGTGTTTGCTTTACCATGAAGGATAGGTTTCTTGTATTGCTCTTGTTTAAACTTCAAAAGTTAGAAGGGAAAGGTTCGGCATGACCTTCGCAGATGGTTTCTGAGACCTTTGTCTTTGTTAGTCAAGTGAAAACAGTCATTACGTCGACGAATCCCTTTTAAAATTTTGGGACGCGCACTGAAGAAGGGGGAAATCACACGAATATTTTCTAAATTTTCAGATCTTGGTGCTAAAAGACCAGGAGGAGAACACACGAAGTACGGTATTTATCATTTAATTCGATGTATAAATGACTCGTTGAATTCAAAGACAGAAAAGCCCGTAATTTTAGCCGTTTTGTTACAAGAAGCAAGAAAATTATAAAAGAAATTATTCTAACTTCAGGCTTTAGGAGCTTAATTGACAGGCCATGGACTACGGCTGTACGTACAAAGGAATAGAAAAGCACCCGTTTTATTACAAGAAGCAAGAAAAGTAAGAAAGAAATTATTCTAATTTCAGGCTTTACCAGCTTAATTGACAGAGCATGGAGTACGGCTGTACGTACAAGTACGTACAGTCACTAAATATATCTTCTTAATTGCTAGGAACTCCTTAATCCTGCTAGGAACAAGTTCTTTACAAATAATTTTCGCCAAACTATACGCTTTTTAAACAATTTGATTTATGTATTTGTTACCTTGGGTAATTTGAGCCCAAATCACACCAGCCGAGATCATTTGTACCACCACACTGGAGTTCCATTGGAGGCATATCTTCCTCTTGCAGTCTCTGTGCGGCATCTTGCGGTGGTTCACTTTTGATGTAATGGATATTGGAAGCTGCCCAGTCTTCTCCTTTACTTTTGGAAACAATGGCTTTTTTATACGACACTGGCTGGGGTTTAGCTTTGATTGCAGTTGCAATCATTGGCTCAGGGGCACTCACTAGTCTTGCTTTCATCGGACTTACTTTCTCTGTACTTGCTTCTACCACGCGAATTCTAAATTATTGAATTAAAAAACTAATTAATATACAGTTATTTTACTATACATTTCATAATACAGAAACTAAGTAAAAAAATAGGTAATTTAGAAAGTTATATTGACATCTATAAAAGTATTGAGTATTCACTGCACGTGAAGGAGGATAAACTTTTTATAAAATTAATAATGTATGATTTAGAAGAAATATATTCTCAGCAAATTATTATTACTATTATTATTATTATTAGTCCAAAGGGACAATTTTCCCTGAAGGACTAATTTCGTTTTGGCATTTTGCGTTGATTCACTATAAATGTCCGATTCACTTTTCAAATTGTTGCCACCAAATATTATCGCCCTGTATTATCGATTATTTAATGCCTTTTTAATTAGATGCTTTCTTTACATCTAGTACATCCATACCTTCTCCAGGATTCGAACCCGGGTCCTTAGGTACCTCAACAGGCTCCCTAACCACTATAGCGTCTGGGCGGCAAGAAATGATTATATAGGTATATTAAGAAGTAATTGTAATATATTTATATAAAAACAATTATTTTTGTGTCCTATGTTGCATTGTGATACAATAACCCAAAAGAAAGAAGAGATAATTAGGCTTTTCTTGGAGTGCCATAATAACCCAAATTTGAAAACAGGCAAACTTTAACTTCCCCGTGTAATAGTGTAAAAAAATGTAACATCTCACATGTGAAATCAACACTTATTCAGAATTTTAATTTGCAATATTATAATAATATTAATTTGCAATATTATATATTAATCTGTATTATATTTAAAGAAATTGAATAATGAAGAATCTGCATAAATGTATGCATGTTTCTCGCATTGTGATAAAACAATGGTACCTAGAGCTATTCAATTTTGAATAACGTACATTTCCACCCGAATGTGGGCATCTGGAAGCCCAAATTTGGAATTTGTTTTATTATCGGTTTCATATTTTGTAAATCTTTAACCAAATTTTTATTAACAAACTCAATGATTTAAAAGCGAACAACGGAAATACTCTACGCGAAAAAAAAAAAAAAAAAAAAAAAAAAAAAAAAAAAAAAAAAAAAAAAAAAAAAAAAAAAACCTTTTTATCTCCAGCGCGCGGAACTGTGCATCGGAAATTCTAAAGATAGGCTCATTTTAAAATTATTTTGCAATGTTGCTGTTTGAACTGAATTTTATGGTTTAAGTGAGAAGAATTTGATATTTAATAAATAAAGGTAACACGCAAAGCGTTAAAAAAACTCCTTTCAGATTTTCATTATTATTATTATTATACCATTATTTCCTTTCTTTTCATCTATTTCACTAAACCACAGCAGGTCAGAATCACTTAATTTTAATGAAAGGTGCCTTAACCGGTACAGTGGTTAGCGCTGCTAGCTGTCGTACGCCTGGATCCAAGTTAGAATCTCATTGAGGGCTTGGATGTTTGCAAATGTGCAATGTCTCTATGGCATGGAGGCATTTAAAATATACAATGAGCCGAAAGGCGAATGGATTGGCGGCAGGGAAAGGAAAGCCTTCGATTCCGTCCCGCAGGGTTTCTCCATCAAAATTGGGACGGAACTTCTTCCTTCTCACGATTGTAAAATCGATCGTCTCTGTTGTCTGCCTTGGACAATGTTCTCGGCGATGAGACTTCTAATGATCGCTGATTATTGGGCCATTGCAGACGAAAGCGTTAAGTTACAAGTACCCGAATAGTTGAAGCAACAACAACTTTTACAGAAATGACTTTAATGACTGTTGATTTAAATTTCATTATCATAAATCACACCCAATCAGGCTTTTAATGAGAAACACATGTACTACAAAGTTAAGATCCTTTTAACATATGTTCTTATAATTTCGATTTTTCATGTATCTGCGATGCATATTTTTATGTAATATTTCTTAAAATTAAGATATAGTTTCAATAAAGAATTAAATTGAAACCTCTCATCTCTTTAAGACTACACTATCTGAAATAGACCAATATTTCTCAAATTGTAATCAAGTAACGGTACTAAACAGCGCTGAAAGTACGCTCTTTAAGACTACCTCCTCCGCAGAAAATCAGAATTGTCATCTTAGGAAAATTTCATTTAAGTTGCTTTCCACATAGTTATAGCAAAATGACTTTTTTCAGATTTAACTTATCTTTTACTCTGCTTCAATTAACAATGAGGAAAATCAAAATTTGATTTGGTTACAGATGCTAACTGGAATTGAAGCACATTTTCTCTATCTTACTATTAATACGAATTGTACTATTTACTATCACACTGTACTATGTTTATTATATTCTGCATTAATAATATAACAACAACAGCCCAACTGAGGGAGACATGTTATTTCCTTCTGTGTTATGTTCTTCAGCGACGAAACTCGGGAGTATCATTCGTGAAATTGGTCTTTGCCTAGTTTCTATGTGGTAGAAGATGTAGCTAAGTTTTTATTGCAAATTAAAATTCTGAATAAATGTTGATTTCACATGTGAGATGTTACATTTTTTTACACTATTACACGGGGAAGTTAAAGTTTGCCTGTTTTCAAATTTGGGTTATTATGGCACTCCAAGAAAAGCCTAATTATCTCTTCTTTCTTTTGGGTTATTGTATCACAATGCAACATAGGACACAAAAATAATTGTTTTTATATAAATATATTAACAATTACTTCTTAATATACCTATATAATCATTTCTTGCCGCCCAGACGCTATAGTGGTTAGGGAGCCTGTTGAGGTACCTAAGGACCCGGGTTCGAATCCTGGAGAAGGTATGGATGTACTAGATGTAAAGAAAGCATCTAATTTAAAAGGCATTAAATAATTCAAAAATTCCCTTTGCTCTGAAAGATAAAACAAATCGAATAAAATATTCTCTTTGCTATGTTCTTTAATCCTCCTTCTAGTTTTTATTTCAGAAATTACTTTTTCTTTTGTTCAAAAATTATTTGTGAGAGTGATCCTTTACTTTCCAATGTTTGCTGAGTTCTAAAGTTTTTATATTACTTTACACAATGCAACATAGGACACGAAAATAATTGTTTTTATATAGATATATTAACAATTATTTCTTGATATACCTATATAATCATTTCTTGCCGCCCAGACGCTATAGTGGTTAGGGAGCCTGTTGAGGTACCTAAGGACCCGGGTTCGAATCCTGGAGAAGGTATGGATGCTTGTAAATGTATAGCGGCTTTGCGGCATGGGAGCATTCTAAATATATGGCTAGCCGAAAGTCCTCTCGTGTGGATTGTGGTAGGGGGAAGGGGGAAGACCCTCGGATCCCCCTCCCGAGGTGCTCTTCCTCAAAACTGGGTTGGATATAGAAGTTCAACCTCCTTGAGGCTCTAGCAACCATTCTTCCGTGAAATGCATGGACAACACAATAACAACATAATCATTTCTTAATATTTTTATAATTGCCGCCAATCTGTTTTATAATAATAAACTGTAATAGATAAATAGAAAGCTACTATGCGTTACTTTATTTACTTAATAATACCTGGCTTTTCATGAAACTAAGTTCTGAATTTCAAAAACATGAAACTTACTAATGTTGATATATTATCAATTGATTAATCTATTATCAATATTAGTAATATCATGTTATTATATATACTTACTTATATTGATATATCATGTTGGTGGAGCAAGAAGGTTCAAAGTTTATTTTATCAAATTATTATTTCGCAAGTTAAAAATAGGACATTTCCTTACTATAAAAAATTTATGAGTCTGTTTCTAAGTAGCCCTAATATATTTCGTATTCTCCAGTGTTCCTTTTTGTGGTGTAAGTAATTATCATGAAAGATCCCCGTTTAGAATCCCTGCGAAGACGCAATTTATTTTTCATGTTTCTTGGTCCGAAATATCTGATCAATGTGTAGACTGTTAGGGCGCGGAAATATGCAGTATTTGTATACAAGGTGTAATAATACTTTAAATAACTCATAAGCTCAAATGTTGAAATACTAATTAGTTCAGCAAATTATTGTTGTTAAAAGAAATGATTATGCATTCTTGAACATACATTTAATCTTACATCTTCGGAAAATCAGAATATGATTCTAATTCTAGAAAGTTAAAATTCATATAAAAAGATTTTAAAAAATCTTGTACTTTTCTACCATCATTTCATTTTCGACTGCTTCTGCATATCTTTTTCAGGATTGAAGAAAAAGTTTTGGAAAAAATCCAATTGTTTTCACAGATTTCAAAAGCAGTCTGTTACTTTAAGAATAGGTACTTCAAATTCCCCTTTCTGGATTATCTCGCAACCATAATAATGACTGCCGCGGAGGATGCTCGATTCCTGTAATTTTCTAAAATCCCCTAATCCATTCTATTTGGTGAAAAAAATTTTTTGACGATTCACGTTACGATCACAAATGAAAAAAAAACCTTCAGTACGACTTTGAAGGACATGATTTTAAAGTTAAGAAGTATAGCTACCTTATTCCATTAATAAGATAATTCTGTTATTTAAGTTATTCACCTTCTTTGAGCTGATTTGAAGAGATAAACTGAATGTAGTATTTCTTGAACAAGAAATAAACTTACCGAGATGTCTAGCTAATTTTACTGTCAATGACCAATTCATTATTATTATTATTATTTTTATTTTATTTTTTATTTTTATTATTTATTTTTTTTATTTATTTTATTTTTATTTTTTGTAAAGCGTCATTATTAAAGTTTACTTTTTCTAGCTACGTAACTCTTTTTAAGTACTTTCTAAATACTTTTTCTAGCTAAGTAACTCTATTTAAGTACTTTCTAAGTACTTTTTCTAGCTAAGTAACTCTTTTTAAGTACTCTCTAAGTACTTTTTCTAGCTAAGTAGTAGTAATTTCTTTCTAAGTAGATCAGTCTAATAAAGGAAAAATATACTTTATCTTCTGAAAGAAAGCTTCCAACTGCGATCACTTTGATGGGTCATCATTCCTAATTATTTGCCTGTTGAAGACTAGAGCTAGCGCTGATTCTGATCAACGGAGATTAAACAGGCTGCTTATATAATCAGGCGTATATCGTTTGACATATGCTGTTTTGTGTGCTCAAAAGAAATGGCAATTGATTAGTAAATATGTATCAATTCAAATAAGCGTTTTATGTTAGCTTAGACGCTTATTCTATGAACAATGGTTTTAACAGGAACTTTTAAAGCTCTTGCAATAAAAATCTATCTTACCTTTTAGCTTCAAGTTCCTTAGGTTCTATTATTATAGCTTTCATTGCTTTGAAAGATGATCCTCCGTTGACTTTTCTGGCGGAAACTATTTTAGGTGACGCAGCTGAATGAGCCTTGATCACGGTCACATGACCCCCAGAGGAACCCACGAGATCATCGAGTTCGTAGGACACTTCTCCTTTGTTCCAGCGACCTGGTTTCCGACCACCTCCGTCCTCTTCTTCACTGTCCGACTGTGTCATTGGTACAAATCCGTAATGAAATCTGTGGGTGGAATAGGAAAGTAAATATAATTATGTTTTAGAATATACTGTAATAGTTTCTTATGATATAAGTAAAATTTCTTTGCTTAGTGTAGGATGATGATCGTGAGTTTATGTATGACGAACGTATAAAGTCATCAAATATATATACATATACATGCATATCAAATATATATAAATACACATGCATTTTATGGGACTCCTGTAAGTTCCTTTTTAATATTTTAGATACTGTTAGGTTTTTAGAAAGAAAAATGTGAACAACTAATTTGCGATCTTGCCGAGAGTAGAATTAGGATCTTCGAGTTGTCAGATACGATGTGATATTCGATTCAGCTTTATTTATAGACATGTGCATCCGGGTAATTTTATTTTTTAAACAAAAAGTATAGGCCTATGAATTTCAGCCTATTTTTTTAAAAAATTCCAACATTCTGTTGAAAATTTCGAAAAGCTATGTAGAGACATTAGGTTATTTGGAAGCAGGAAAGATGAAAAATAGCAAACACCTTCGCCGGGAACCGAACCACGGACCTCTGGAATACTGGCCCAGCGTGCAGAACCACTACACCATGAAGGCACGCTAGGAAGGTGTGAGAAATACCTTACAGCTAAAATTTTTCTGCCTAAAGAAATAAAAGCTTTCGTGGCAAAATTCCGGAATGAAATTAGCTCGCATTTATTTATGGGAGAGGGGGAAAAAATAGCCGTCTCATGTAACCCTCCTGCCATCTTTGGTTTCTCCAATGCATCAGGTTGAATGAAAAAATCCACGGATTTCAGCCTAAAATCACATTCTTATGAAAACTTGTATTGTTCTTCGGCTTTAACTATAGCCACTGCTGAACTTCATATTCACAAATTTATAATTGTTGAACAGTATATTTATAATGCATTTTAATTTGCATTTTAGGTTTAAAGTACAGAAGCAAGATTTTTTTTTAAATCAGCATTAATTAAAAAATTATTCAAATCATTAGGATTAGGGAAATTATTAGGAGGATTAATTATAGATAATTTCTAAAATTAAGAAATAAACAAAAAGATGTTAAAAAACAAAATTAAAATTAAAATGAACTGAGAAAGAGATTCAGAAAATAGTTCAGTTACTTCATAAAAGAGCATCATGCAGCTTCATTTATATATTTCTCTCCTACAATTCATTACATTGTAGTGTTCTAGCTAAAATAAATTTATTCGACTGCCAGAACCTAGGCGAACTGTGAGACGACTATTCGCTAAGTTTGTAGAGATATAAGGTATTTCTCCCACTTTCCTACCGTGCCTTCGTGGTGTAGTGGTTCTGCAGGCGGGGCCGGTATTTCAGAGGTCCGTGATTCGATTCCGGCGAAGGCCATTGCTAATTTTTCATCACTCCTGCTTTCAAAAAAAATCCTAATGTCTCTACAGTGGCGCCCGAACTAAAAGGCTGTTGGATGAGGTTTCTCTACACCGAGGATTTGGCGAGTGGGTCCCCCTAAAAACCCCAGTTGCGCTTTAAAAAGGGGAGTATATAAGGTATTTCCCCCACTTTCCTAGCGTGCCTTCGTGATGTAGTGGTTCTGCACGCTGGGCCGGTATTCCAGAGGTCCGTGGTTCGATTCCCTCGAAGGCGGTTGCTAATTTTTCATCTCTTCTGCTTCCAAATATACCTAGTCCCTACAGAGACAAGGTTTTTTTTGGGTGCTGCGAACATAAAAAATGAGCCATGCTCTCGCCGGGACTCGAACCTCGGACCTCTCGAATACGCGCCGAGCGTGCTGACCATTACACCATGAAGGCATGCAAAGAAGTCTGGAGAAATACCTTGTAAGTTCTTGCTGCGTGAGTAGCAATTCAAAAGAACTGTTAAAATATCCTTTTATTTTAACTCATTATAAGGTATTTACTCCCTCCTATCAGCATGGCTACGTGGTGTAACAGAAGCACACTCGGTGCGTATTCGAGAGGTCCAGGGGCGAATCCTGGCCAGGACATGGCTCATTTTTCACATCTCCTGCTTTAAGAAAATGCCTGATAACTCTACAGCGGTGCCCGAATTAAAGGGTGATGGACGATAACCCGTCACCACCATGATTTGGCGTTTGGGTCCCCTCATCCCCAGTCGCCCTTTAAAAGGGGGATTGTATAAAGTATTTTCTTCCTCCTTCTATCATGCATTCGTGGTGTAACGGCAGCACACTCGAAGCTTTTTCTAGAGGTCCAGGTTGGAGTCACGGTGAGAGCACAGCGCATTTTTCCTATCTGCTGCTTTAAAGAAAACCTAATGACTCTACAAGTCATAGACTGCTCCACTTGGGCGTACGGACAGCCAGCACGTGTGGCCTTGAACTTAAAAATAGAAAACATAAAATTGAACTAATGCCAAGTACAATAATCAGCCTAAGCTGCACAAAATTGTTAACGCGTAGTTGGGTCTTAGTAGATAAACAGGCACGTAATAAGCATGGCCGTAAAATAGCAAGCTTTAACTCTTAAAAACAATTTAGTCAAAAGCTAGAACATGCTCTAACTGAAGTAACTCTGACCTCAGCTTAAATAGTAATTTCTACCCTATTTTGCATAAAGCGTAAATCTGAAAATTCATTCTCTCAAGGAAAGCGTAGATAGGAAAATGAGGAAGTAAAGGAAAACTATATTACAACTAAAAATTAACTGTTAGAAAAATAATATAATACCCTACAACATTATATTTAATCATACTTTTCTTCACTGAATTTCATAGTAATTTGAGGATTTAAAACACAAGTAAAATCTGTCACTTATAAAAGAAAAGAGCTCAACTCAAAATTACCTGGAAGCTTGACGAGGTGGACTTGGTATCTGTGAAGCATAGGATCGCGTTGTGCCGAAGCGAAGTGTACCTTTGGGTCTTTCTTCCGAATCTGGGTCTCTAAGTGAAAGTGTTAGCGAAGTAGGCAACAGCTGTGAACCCCTTTCTGGCATTGTCTCGGCATTTAGGATTTGGATATTATCCTTAGGCAAAGTAAGAACGAGACGCCTACTACTTCTTGGCTTTTTATTTGCTGACATAGATTGGATCAACAGGTAAGGGGGACCTCCACGTTTAATGGGGCCTTGATGCCTAAAATTTGGAGCAGGCTCTGATGGTCTAGTGACTAGCTGAGGAGGCTGTAGTACACGAAGAACTGATGAACGAGCATCTGATGCCACACGTCGTAACCTATGAGGCGGCATTATAGTTTGATAACCAGGTTTGTTATGAATGTGAGGTGGACTATTCCTATGACCAAGCGCCGACGTTAGGCTAAGTAGCAGTGGAACAGTCAACACGAGAATCCAAGCGTAGTTCAACATCTGAAAACCAAACAAGAAAAATTTTCTTAATGTTATTGACCTTAATCGCAAACCAAAGAATTTACTTATATAATGAAACTGTGAACTTACAGCGGAAAATATAGCAATAATATTCGGAACAACATTGCGATATAATATAAAGCGGGAAACACATTTTTACAGAAGAATGGAGCTAGTCTTATCATTCGCATACTCTGCGAAGCTACTGGCTAGGATCTGTACCTAGGCAGTCTCGGCCACGGGGGATAAAATTTATGAACTTGGTGGTTCTGAAGCCCCTGGGAAAGGTCACTTATTGGCCGGCCTCGGGGACTGGCATGTCCTGAGCGGTGTGGAACCGTAGCCGAAGGGCTAGTTTCCCTCGGTTTGCTGAGTAACGGCCTACTGCGACGGGCTCGCCCATGCGACTGGCAGGAGCAACTTGACGACCGGTGCTGCCTGGTGTCTTATCCAGGTGGTGGGCTGCTCCCTTGGAAGGGTAATAGTGGAGGTTGAACCTCCACGAAGTGCCCAAAGGGGGAGTGGACCCGTAATGTGATTGAGTTCACGAGGCGGGGCAGCCCAAATTGTTGTTGTTATCATTCGCATAAGCCGATTTAGCACCTACAGCATTAAGTTTAAAGGCATTCTAATCAAATAATAAATAATAAGCTTGAGACAGAGTAATAACAGATCTGCGATGCTCTTGGATGTCCGGGGACGCATGAGCGTTATATTGAATGATGCTTTCCATGTGCTTTTCCTGTCCGACAGCACTACGTAACCCGTTAAACCTCCTTCGTGCTGGAGACAAGGGCTTGGAACTGTTCCCCTTGAACGAGGAATTCCCAGTAAACATGAGCTCGTGTTGATTACATCCATTCCTTTGTAGACACCGCATGTCGCTAGTAAGCCGATTTAGCATCTACAGCATTAAATGCATTAAAATTTAAATAAAACGACTGCATTGTTTTCAAAGTACCATTAGTACAGTATATACTTCCTTTTATTATTTATTTCCGATTATTTATTTATTTAACGGTAAATGAAAGACATGAATTTATTTATCAAAATTATCAAAAAATTGTAAAAAATGTATTATTATAGGACAGTAGAGCATATGGAATATGATTATGCTTCTTAAGAATGCAGCATTTCCATTTTAGGCAGCAAAATATTTTAAGTACTTTTCACAGCTATATTATTGAGCACAACAGCTAAAAAGTAAATTAATAATTCTTAAAAAATGATTCTTCAGCTTTACTTAACTTCGTTAGCTAACTCCATAAAACTAAAAAATAAATATGAAATAAAATATTTCAGAATTTTCAAACTTCTTTTCTTACATCCATAACTTTCGCAAGCACTTAAAATTTTAGTAGAAGAAATTTTGATAATCCGTAAACAGCCATTTCATTTGCAATTTTAAGGACAAATCCTTCGTTAATAGAATTTTCCATTTTACTAAAGCATACTTAGAGAATAGCATTTCCATTAAAATGAAATCTCAATTTTTGGTGAAACCATTTATTAATACTTGGAAATTCAAAAGCAATGTAAAAATATGTGTGAAAAGGAAACCTTTATTGATTCGGAACTTTGTCGCTATATATATTTACTCTATACGTACTTATCTCAAATTTTTCTGAGCACTTTCTTCACAAGACCACATAAACTGATTAAAATATAAGATTAGAAAAGATCGTTCGTAATTTATGGAAAAGATTTTCTATTTAAATTTCGTCGATAAAATTTTGAGATGAAGATTAGGCAATTTCAGTATAATCATCTGCTACTATTTTGTTTCACTAGAATGAAGAATAAGATATTTATTTTGAAAATGGCTCCAAAAGTTGAGAGATGGCTTGAACACGATGATGTCTTAAATGCACTTTCCGAGGAAAAATATTTATATCAACAAATGTCTTTCTTAACCGTGGGCCCCGAAATGCATGAGCTTATACCCTGGATACATGGACAGCTTGTCGCGAGAACCCCAGTGTTTGGTCCCCAGACGCACTTGGTACTCATTTTATCCACCCATTCAAGGAGCGAAACGTTGAGTCAACCTTGCCCAACCCAGGGATCGAGGCCCGGACCTGTGGTGCTGCAGCGCAACGCGCTAGCCACTGCTCAACCAGGCCTCACTCCATTCTATTGAGAATGCAAATATAATTCAGTAGATGCTTAAGATTAGCTTCTGCGATTATCTCTGTTTCCAGACACGAGTTTCGTGTTAAAAGAATGCCGTTGTCTATTAAAATTAACTTTATTTTGTCAGAATTGCATATAACTCTTTTGCTCATTGCGTGTTCTCAGTACTAAAGTGCCACAATATTATATTTCAACCGATTGTTTAAGTGTAGCATTTCGACATATGTTTATCTGGGCCTTCAAAACATATTTAATTATTTGATCTGCAACACATAAATTGATTCAGCTAAACGTGTAAAACCTTCGAGTCGAAGTGGGTTGCACAAAGACAAATCAGAATCATACAGCAATGTAGGATCAAATACGCCATCTTCATAAGTTCAGACATGATTTTTAAGTGGCGTGGTAGTCTATTCATTGAACTGAGAGATCGGCGGACTTAAATTGCTTTGATTACATTTGGAGTTACGTCAAAAGAATAGATATATGACATTGCCGTTGAAAACGACGAGGACATTGTAGCACATATCTCTAGCTGAATCCATCGCAAGACATGGTAGGAATTTTCCAAAATGTATCTGATTCAATACTCCGATAATGTCGAGCGCTGTTATATTCATAATTCAAGGTCGCAATTTTGAACACTCTCTATAGCCTTAATGCATCCTTCAAATGTCTCATGGATAATAAAAGCATTTTATTCTCTCAATAGCGCTTGTTCGTTTCTTGTAGTCTCTATGCAATAATACATGAAGATGACATATCCGATCCTTAATTGCTACATCTTTCCCATTTACCTACTCGTAACCTACTCATCTCAGAAGTTGTATCCGCTTAACTGAATTACTTTGTAAAGAAAGGTCCTTCATACATATATGTAAGTATGCAATCATATGCGCTGGAAAAAAATCTTTCAAAGCTCCAGTGCCCTTTCCGGACAAAAGAAAATAGAAGATATTCTTTCAAACATGATAAGAAACCCTCAAGAGCCCTCAAAGGGAAAAAATGGGAAATCGTACAGGATTAAAAACATGTAACTACTGCCAATAGATTTTAAGTGTTAGGTAGCTAAAACAACAAACACCAATTAGAATCTGATATTAAATGGAAGACAAAAATTTCATTAAGGAAAATAAAATTATAATCCAAGTCGAGGTAAATTCATACAGACATTTTTTAAAAGTTAAATGCTTGACTCTTAACAGCATTTTGATCTTCTTGTGATATTCCTCTGACAGATATTTATGAAATTTCACATAAAACAAAAATTGTGTTCCTGCAACGTATTTTGAAACGCAGCCAATGGCTATCGAATTAAAAAAGATAAAAAGAACCTATAAGGAAAATCCGCATATAATTACATTTAAAGCAAGCATTTTTTTGTGATTCGCTACATTGCATAAATGCTATCGCGGGCTAAGATTAGAAACTAATCTCCTCTCTCTTGTTTGGGCAAGTTGCTCTATCGCTGAGCTACAAAAGCTAAGAGCCAGTTTCAGTTTAATTTCTGCTTTACGTTAGACTCGAGTGATTCGTTCTTGACCTTTATTTTATCATGATTTGACCTGCTGAGGTCTTCAGAAGCCTCCTTTTTAAAATTTAAATACATCTACGAATTGTATGCTTCCTTAAATAAAAACGATTTTCAAATTTTTAATCTCATAATTAAACAATTGGCTTTTAACTACTTGTAAGATTAAACCTGGGCATTATTATGGTTTTCGTTAATGTTTTACACTGAACAAGTCGGAGGAAACATATTAACACGTTTATGCATATTATAAAAAATTAAATTTTCAACTTGAAATTTGTATATATTTACATAAACGAAGTTGTGAAGTTTGATATAAATTACTTAACTTTTTCATTTTGGCATTAAAATTTTACTCTCATTTGAATGCATAGATAACGGTATTATCACTGTTAACTAAATCTTGTCAATCTAATGTAGGTATTTTACATATCAACAGCAAAAATAAAAGTTAGTGGAAAACCTCACTGATAGAGATCATTTGAAAGAAAAATAGAATACTATTCTAGAAATCAAAACGCATTTTTACAGCAATTGTATGATTTTCCACCTTTAGACGTTTTTCATTTGTTTACTTTTCGGTGAAGGATAAATGTTTTTATATTATTTATGTTTAGATTAGTTCTTAAAGCATTAAAATTTATAAACAGTTTTAATCTACAGTTTTATAGTCATGGGTTGAATTTTCTCTAGTCTTAATTTCTGAAGACAATCTGAAATTAGTTTGATCGCCTATTTATAATATACCTGAATCATTCTACAAGCTTTCAATACTTTTAACATAAATACATGTTTGCGTAAAAATAAGCCTTGCATTCCTTTTTATTTTTATTTTATTTTATTTTTTTTTTTTGGATGATTTTGGGAACTGCATATAATACACTAATCTCATAATCGAGAAAACTGCAAATAATTAACTATATTAAATAACATGGTTTAAACTTGTCAATATAAAAAAGTGCTTTTTTGCCTCATCTCAAGATGATTTTTGGTGAGTTACCAGTTATTACACGGGACAAAAGTACTAGTATCTCCGTTGCTAAAGTCAAAATCATTACAAAACTAATATGAATAATGTCAATAGCTTACTTTTAAATAAATATATTGTTTGCTGCATTTTAAGAAATTGCTATTAGAAATTGTAATGTCCAAAAAAAAATTTTTTTTTAATGTTCTCAAGCCCTTTCATCCTTTTTTATCCATGAAAATTAGGCCATTTACTATCCTAAAATTAAATTCTTTTACTCCCAGTCAAGTACAAAATCTATAGCAAATATTTTTGGAACAATAATATTTGATAAACACAAGGAGAAATGAAAGATAAACTGCAGTTTCAGAATAATAGTCATGAAAAGGAACAATTAATACTTCACTAGAGATGTAATATAAGAAGTAATTTAAGGCATGGAGCATTTTTTAATTTCAAAGTCCAAGTATAATGCTTTTTTTCTTTTTTATGTAGATTACTTAAGCTGACGAAGCAAAAAATTTAAAACTAATTTACTATATCAATTAATTTCTTTACAGTGTTCAAAAACCGGTACTACAGTCTAAACTCTCATCAAAAATACAAATGCAAAGTATGCAATTTGAAATTATTATTTATCCTAAAGATACAGATTTAGAGAAAGATTACGAATAAGTTAGTTTAGTTAAAAGGTTATTTTAAAAACCTGGAAGTCACAAAGAATTGTTTTATGACTTTTAGCAATAACAAAAAATAACTAAAAGACTTAAAACTAAGAACAGTCAGGACAGTTAGCTATATATTTGAAAACTATATTCAAATCTACAAACTTTTTTCCAGACAATGGTTAAAAGGTAGCTGGTAATCCAAAGTTTTGCGTTTCAACGGTGTGTTTCACAAGATGCACGTGCGTTCAAACAGGAGTTTATGTATCCACTGTAGAGTCAACAAACCGGCATTAAATACTCACCAGTGGTGAGAAAATATTACTCACCTCGATTGTGATTCGATGTGTTCTGAGGCGTTGTGGGCGAAGATGCCGAAGAAAAAGCTTCGCCGGGATAAACCAGGCTTGAACCTAAAACTCGTCTTCCAACCCCACAACATGACCTTCATACGCACAGGCACACTTTTTTTTTCTCTCAAACCAATCCTCCTAATCCTCGGATCGACATCATTCTCAAAGGCGTCACGCTCTTTTACACTCGTCGCCGTTCTGTTCAATGCTCTATTCTATTAAGGTTCTACGGATAGGGGAAATTTATGTGTTAAATAAAACTCGGAATTGCCGGAAGCAATCGCAACGGAAAGAAGTGCTGTCACATTTTCTTCTCGAAGTTCCGCCTGGGGTGCTGATACCCAGTGAGAACTTCTTTATTAATTCCTTTGCGTTCGATTAGTTTTCGCTAGGCCAGATTACACAAATTCTATAAAAATCTTTCACTATTTGGCTCCTTTTACGATTATCACTACATCCTGGTAATTTGGGTAATTTGGTTTATGTGGCATAGATTTCTTATGAATGATTTTCAAAATATTTAATAAAAAGTAATTGCTTAAGGATATGAGTAGACAGGTTTTCAGGCTCTGCTTAAGTGGTTAAGCAGAGCACTTAATTTGGTTTCTTTCTTTGATTTCATTGATACTTTTTTTAATTCGCAGAGAAGTTCATGTTTCGATGCTAAGTTTGCATAAAGTCTGTCGCTATCTCATTGCGGTTATGAATCTCCAGCAAACAAGACTGTATGTCACTTAATTATCTTAAATGCTAACTCCGGCTCCATGAAGGAAGAGAGTCGGGGGCTTTACAGTCCAGACTTAATCTTCCAGCGAAGTAACACCGAACAGAGTAGAAGGTTTTAAATAAACCTTTGTATGAGCTCTTCAGCCTAATTTTCTATCAATTTGCATAGCCTGTGTGATAACAGGAAAGAAGCCGCTACGTGCGATATTAAAAAAAAATGTACAATTTAAGTATTTAAAATATGAGATTTTACAAGACAAAACGCTCCTACAAGGTTTGCCTCTGGCCCTCAGTTTGCGCTAGCAAACATGGCTAGCAATGATAAAGCTAAATGTAAGTAAAATAGGTGGCTGGGAGAAAACAGTATCGAGTACTGTCAGCTGCCAAAGACTCATTTAAAAATTCAACACTTAACCAAGATTATACTACTATTGTTCATATGATATTTCAACTGGAAGTAGAGAAATAGATCATTCCAAAATATTTTAATATTTTCGTACCCATTTACTAACAACGCATCTCGATTTCAGATGTGTTCAGGCCATTTTAAAATCACCAGAGTTAATTGGATAGGAAATGTTCTCTTATAAGCCTAAATTATGCAATACTTGATCATTGTAATTGTTATTGTTGTTGTCGTGTCCATATTACATGGAACAATGGTTGCCAGGCCTACTCCGGAGAGAGGTTGGACTTCTATTTTCCTCACCCAATTTTGAGGGAGAGCACCCCGGGGGGCGTCTCTCACACCTCTCCTCTCCCACCAATCCACACGAGAGGACTTTCGGCTCGCCGCATATTTAGGGTGCCGGCATGCCACATCGACACTATTACATTTACAAACATCCATGTCTTATCCGGGATTCGAACCCTGGCCCTTCGGTATTGTGGTAGGCTTGCCTAGATTGTTGTAATTTAGATTGATGAAATGTAATATTTTATTTTAGCTCCCTTACAAAAACATAATGATCTAGTGATCATCGTGTTTCATATAAATCAATATTGAATTGATTAGCTGTTGATCATATGAATCAATATTGAAGCTTCTAAAGTTCTTCAATATTGATTCAATTACTTACTTTCACAAATGAGAAATCATCACAACGAAGGATGTTACCAATTTCAGTGCATTATCTAAGATGACCTAATTCATTTGATGGCTGAATTTATCATAAATATTTGCGGCTATCAAATATTAGTTATCGACGTTTTTCTAACTTTAAATTTGAAGCGAGTAACTGCGTAGGAAATTTTAGAGTTCTCTTATTGCTTCGAATAATTTAAGAATTCACGAATAGATATGACAGAACTGGTAACTATTAAAGACTAAAATTTCGAGATCTCCTCGAATGAAAAAAATTCTGTATGAATGGAACATGAGTAGAAAAATCATGCTGTGCTAAATAATCAATATTTGTATTTTCATATTTTATATCTTATACTATTTCAATTTCTCGGTCCATTGAAGCAAATGGCCCATGGAGGAGATATAGTAATTTGAACGACCTGAATCAATAAATTGATTTCAGTAAGGAAGTAATATATGAACAGCGATACGTATATTCTGTTATATATTACTTCCTTCAATCCATTATGTAACATGCAATAAAAAATTGGCAAAAATTTCAACTGACTTACTTTCTGGAGCATTCATAACTATTCCCTGAATAAAAATAAATAATATAACAAGCACGTAATAATACATTTTTTTCAAAATTTTCAGCGTCATTTCTCCCAGCTCATTTCTTACTAATATCAACTGGGTCGCAATTAATATAGCAAGTAATGTTTTACGTTAAAAAATATTCATTCTAATACTTCAAAATATTGTTGAGTAAATGCTGTGTAAAATAATTAAGCACACTCATTCAATGAATCTGCTCATAATTCTTTCACATAGCATAAGCGTTCGTTTTCACATAATTTCTTTTGCTTGTCTAAGAGTCTTAAATTTGAAAGCAAGGTTGTTTTATTAGATAAAATATGTTTTTATACTACATTATTGGATAAAACATAATATGTGTAACTGAAAGTATTTATGTGTAATTTCAGTGATCAATTTATAAGGTATTCCTTCCGCCTTCTTAGCATGCCTTCATGGTGTGGTAGTCTGCACGCTGGGCGCGTATTCCAGAGGTCCGTGGTTAGATTCCCTGTGAGGACGTTGCTTATTTTTCATCTTTTCTGCTTCCAAAAAATACCCAATGTCTCTACAAGTTGATAAGTCTTAAGACATTGCAAAGAAAAAATACTTTCGGGGACATAAAATGCTCCTTAAATAAAATTTGAAAGCTATAGATTTTGAAGCTCCATTCATTACATAATTTGGCCTATGTAACTTAAATTGGGTGCCAAATGTATCTATTGTTTTATGCTTCCTTCACTATATTATTTGCTTATATATCTTAAAGCTGGAAGCTAGATTTATTTAATAGTAATTTATAATGTCAGTGGTAAGTGGCAGTGCTAAAGATTACATTTCTATAGTATTGAAGTCACTTAAAGTCTTATTTTGTTCATCTTTTGTCTAACATGGTTATTTAACACCAGTTATTTTAGAAGTGATTTAGGTCACTAGGAATCACTAGATTAAGCTAATAAATGTTGACATTTTAGCTTTACTGTTACTGAGCGACGTCTGAGATAACCACTGACCTGACTTTGTTGTAAAAGTCTTACAGTGTTAATAGTCATCCTGGCAGAAGGGAATATTTCCTCCATGTAAAAATATAAATATAAATATTACATGGGCATACAAGGCCTGTGTATAAGCATAGATGTGTTGATTACAAACATTGTCTTGTACAAGTTATATGTGATAGTTACATAAAATCATGACAGTTATGTGTACATTTAAACATTATCTGAATTCATATTTACAATACTTTTACTGAGATAATCAAAGTAAACTTATAATTCATTTACACATTGACTGGATTTTCAATATCATTTAAACTGCTTTACAATATTATTTTTATCAAGTACATACAAACTGGATAGTAATATGCTTACATTACAATAGTTTTGCTTTTACAGTCCTGTTACGGGGTAAGCCATTTTTCTAGTGTTGATTTTCAGTTGTTGTAGTATTTTGAATTGCTATTAAAATTATGCTGCGAAGATACAATTCTCAAGGGAGGGGGAGAATTTCTTAGTACCTTGCTGAGCATAGCCTGATTACCTCCTCTATTTTAGTTTTCGTCTGCTTGTTGCCTCAGGTATTCTCCGTCCATTGCGGCCAGTATTCACTGCTTGGCATTTTTAAATGCAGTTTATCAGTTTGTGGGCAGTTGAAGAGGAAGTGATCTGCATCACCTACTGTACCACATTCACACAATTCTGATTCTCGTTTGCCGAATCTCTTAAGATAATGTGGGAAGGGACCATGGCCAGTGTAGAATTGAGTTCGTGCTCCGCTGTATGTATTAATTGAGTATGTAACTTTCGGAAAGAACTTGTAGGTTTTCCTCCCTGTGCTTTCCCTTTCCCATCTTTTTTGCCATTCTTGTAAAAGGCTATTGAGCGTGATTATTTTTAAATAAGACTGCGGAACACTTACTGCGTTTTCCAGTCTACTGGAGTCATTGGCTGCAGATTTCGCAAACACGTCCGCCGCTTCGTTGCCAGTAATATACACATGAGCTGGAACCCAGATCAGGACAGGTCTGTTATCTGGTGCGATACTTAGAAGAATTTTCTGAATACATTGCACCAAAGGACTCCTTGTCTTGTGCCCGCGAATGGACTCCAAACTGAGGCAGAGTCGCTATATATATTGACTTTTATTCCTAATTGATATTTTGCCAAATTGATGGCTGCTTTTAACGCAAGAAGCTCTGCCTGAAAGACGGGTATTTTTGTCTGCCAGTCGTCTTTCTCGAGTTTTTACCACTTCTGCTTCTTGGAGTACACAGTAGGCGCAGCCCGTGCCTTTCTCCGTCTTTGGTGGGGTGTATTGCATGTGTATTGTGTGGGATAAATCTATATCTGCAGAGTGTCCAAGCATGATAGGCTTGCGCTTCTCATAGTCTGTGTGGTAGAATGTCTTTTGCCACAGAGAGACGTTATTTTCCAGGCGCAATGTCCTTACTAATAGTGATTCTCTCTCCACTAGAAGGTCCAGTGGGGGGATACCCGCCAGCACTTGCAGTGCCGCAGTCAGGGATGTTCTATAACCTTTGCATAAGATCAAAAGTTGCATTCTTTGTATGGTGAGAAGCTGTCTTCTCATATGAGCAGTAAGC